TACACTATATAGTAAAAATTGAACACATTTTGTCCTCGTTCTGAAAAAAATCCATATAGTTTGTGACGTAATAGGAACAAAAATTACCAATAACCTACTACGAAGAAATATTTTTGTCCCCCGCTTTCACTGAAAGTGGGAGATTTTAATTTGGGTCTGTCTTTCCGTCCGTCCATCTGTATTTCTGTCTGTCTGTAACACTTTCGTTTCCGCGCGATATCTCGAGAACCCTTTGAGCTTTCGCAATGAAATTTTGCATAGCAACTCCGTATGGACTAAAGAAGAACCCTATTGATTTTGAGGTCAAAAGGTCAAAGTTCAAGGTCGTAAATTCACAAATTCCGTCTGTGTGTAACACTTTCGTTTCCGGGCGATATCTCAAAAAGCTTTTGAGCTTTTGCAAAGAAATTTTATACCATAACTCCCTATGGCATCTCTCGTCCCTCTCAAAGTGTCCCGCCCCGTTTTTTTTATTTAGTGTATATTAACAGTCGCTTGGCACTATTTTTTAGCACAGGGGCATGTGGAGAGTAATTACGTATAATACAGGTTGTCGGCCGACTTTATATTCTAATTACATCTATTAGAACTGTTTAGTAAAGGCTAAATTAGACAATATGTATTGTATAAAATTTTGACAATATCGAACGTGAATATAAACATTATGTGTGACCTAATGTTTGCATTTTATCAGACATAACTCAATGTGAGTTCAGTCATATTATGGAAATGAGTAGATCAACTTCTTGTTACATAGTCAAAGAAGCATAACTCTTACAACATTATCATTACTGACTTTTGAGATTACCCTTTTGAAATAATTTGCTGTATAATCAAGTGCATCCGTGGTGTAGTGGTATGATGCTTGCTTAGCAATTGAAAGGCCCGGTTCAATCCCCGGATGATTCTCTCTCTTTTTTTCTTTTTTTCTTTTTTTTTCATTTACTAAATGATACTATTCAACATGTGAAATGAGAAAGTTATGTCGTCTGGCGGCGTGTACAAACTCATAAAATCATTATTACAGTGTGATAAATATTCCATATACTAAAAAGAATCTTCTTTACATATATTAAAGAATAAGCAATCAAATCTTTATATCCATACTGGCATTTTTATTTGCTTCAATATACATGTATACATTTAATAATTCTACAAATCCAGAAGGGGGGGGGGGTCCGACCCCCAAGCCCAAGAACTGCGCATGCTCTTCTTTTTTCCCTAAGCGGGGGACACAACTTCTCTGAATTAGCTTGCTTTTTGTTTTTTCAGATTGTACAATTCAGGACATTTCAAGAAATTTTCAAAATTTGACTTTTGTGGGGGCAAAAAAAATGCAAATACCGCATATAGGTCTTTGATACATATACTGTATTTATAGGTATGTGCATTTGCTTCACATCTAGGAAACTAAGACTAAACAATTTGTTTTCCTTTGTAGTTTTCCTATGCTGACTGACGTTTTTCACACTAATTATTAGGCCATTATTTAACATTACAATTTCTATGGATTTTTCTTTTTACCCATCATGACAAGGAGTGATAAGTGACAAGGCGGGTGTGATTGGTTGGCAGAGGATGTTCAATCTTCCATAGCACCTGATCACACCTCTGATGTTTTAGAGGTCCGTGTTTGCTCTGCTCCTAATTTGTATTGTTTGAATGGACTTTTGAGCTTGAATACTGTTCGTTATCTCCATGTATTTCATATAAAGCATTCCCTCCTCTCTTCCTAATCGATAACCACTTTTATATTCAAGTCTTTTATACTCACTTTTATGTACGTATATCGTTAACTTAAAAAGAAAAGAGACCCGAAAAAAATGTTCTCTTCTCAAAATCTAGTGTCGATAATTTGAACAGAATTGAATCTAAATGACTACAAATGTTTGCATATTCATTTTACTTTCAATCTGCTACTCTTGAAATGTTCTTTTTTGAATTTCCCCATATATAATTCCCATGTTAAATTCTGGAACCCTATTAAAGCTTCAGCTCAATTCCAGCTAGGGGCCATGATTTTAATATGTATGAATCAACACTATCAAGATGTACCTGTACATTAATTAAGATGTGTACTTGTTGCGCTTCTGTTTTTGAGAAGAGGATGAAAAAGGAACACGTATACCTACATTTCCAATGTGGATATTGGATCCCTTGTTATGGCCTTAAATTGCCAAAACACCAGGCCATGGTTAGAATAAATTAGAATGTGCACTATCTAGGGATGCTTGCATAATAATCATTTTTATCCCAACCGTATTGTACTTGACAAGATTTTTGAGGGTTTTTGTTTCTGAATATTCCAATGTAAAACATTTTTTTTTTCTCCATTACCATTGGAGCCATCGTTTGACCAAACTTAAATAAATATATACTATCTGACGATGCTTACACATTTTAAATATGACTAAACATGCATGGTTCTGCTATTCCTGAGAAGTTTGGAGATTTTTCCTTATTTATCTACAAGTATTACTCTGTTCCCCTATTGTGTCCCAAACCTACCCCCAAGGGCCATGATCTGACCAAACTTGTGTAACCAAAGTTGAATCCAGTACAACCCACAATACATGGCCTGCTGTTCTTGAGAATGATAATTCGAAAGATCTTTTCTTGTATATTTCCATGTATAACTTTTATCACCAACTGGGCATCTACTGTACCCACCGGGGCCATGCTTTGAACAAATTTGAGTACCTTAATTTGGATATTTGCATATACGTAACTGTGAATTATCATGGCCTGCAGTACATAAGATGTTAAAAGATTGTTTCCTTTACATTCCTCCCCAGTTGTGTACCAGCCCTTAATTCCCCCCAAAGCCATGATTTGAACATATTTGTATCTGCACTAGCTCGGGATGCTTGTGTATGAATACGACTAACCATGATCGTGCTGTTATTAAGGATCTTTTTTTGCTATACATTACCATGTAAAACTTTGATCCCCTATTATTGTCCCAACCTACACCCCTTACCCCCCAAAGGCCATGACTTGAACAAAATTAAATCTGCACTACCTGGGGATATTTGCATGTAACCATGACGTAATAATCATCGTCTTGTTGTTTCTGAGATGAATTATTGTAAAAATAGTTTCCTTTGTATTCTGACATAAAAATTTTGATCCCCTTTCGTGGCCCCACCGTACCCCAAAAAAGGGGGGGGGTTAGTTTGGACAAATTTGAATCTGTACTAGAGGATGATTGCATACTAGTATAAATATGACTTATCATGTTCCTGCTGTTCTTAAGATTTTTAAAGATTGTTTCCCTTATACATGTATTTTCATTTAAGGTAGTCCGATCCCTAGGTCTGAAAATCAGCAGTTTAGTCTTGAAAATACTTATGAAAATGTCTCTGAATTCACAAATTAATGTATATTTACCCATGTTATTTGTTCAAAGTTCATCATTATATTTAATCATATTATAGAGGAAAATTATCAAATCTCAAATATATATTCAGGAAACGTGAAATAAGGGGGCATAGACAGATTTGAAGATATTTTCTCAAATTTTCTGTATTATATCATGACTTATATGCTGCTATAGCATTTCACACGGAAATATGATTTTAAAAAAAACTTATTTTTATATCTGGAAATTATTGAAACTACGAATTTCGGGACGCGTTTGATTGACACATCCTTACACTTTCACAAAGTAAACTTTATACTTAATACTTGAGAAAAGTAGAAATTTTGTTGTGCATTAATGAAAAAATTAAAGATATAATCAAGAAAATTCAGAGTAGGGATGTGAGAAAGCAAAACCAATTCACCAGTATTTTCAGTCCATGCACAGTGATGTGTGCAGAGTTATCTGTTTCATATTTGGATATTTTATTAGAAAAAGACGTTAATGGTAATCCAACAACAAAGCATTATGATAAACGTGATGACTTTAACTTTTCAATCGTCAACTTCCCTTACTTATGCAGTAATATACCCTTATCACCAACATACGGGGTTTATATCTCTCAGTTGATTCGATACGCCAGAGCATGCTCTACGTATGAACAATTTCTAAAACGAGGTAAGTTATTGACAAACAAGTAGATGAAACAAAAATATCAACAGTCTCGTTTAAAGTCATCATTTCGTAAGTTCTATGATCGAAAATGGCCTTGTCAGCAAATACAATCTATCATCAAGTCAAATGCTGACTGACTTTTTTCATACTATATATTGTTAGGCCATTATTTGCACACTGAATTGTCGACGATCATGACAAGGAGCACACGGCGGGTGTGACCGGTCGGCAGGAGATGTTTACTACTCCATGTCACCTGATCCCACCTCTGATGTCTTAGAGGTCCGTGTTGGCTCTGCTCCTATTTTGTAATGTTTAATGGACTTTTGAGCTCGAATACTGTTCGTTATCTCCATATATTTCATTACACAAATTGAACACACCCGGTGGAACGTGAACTGTTTTGTAAACAGGGCACAAGCTCTGTTATTGTTAATGTTTACGTTTCATCAGGCGTGTTCAATTTATTGCATCTTTACCTTTTTCATCACAGTAGGCTAACACGTATGGTTTTAGTCACACCACTCAGGCCCCTGGGAGACATGACTATGAAATTAATAACTTTTGTACCCCTTTACCCGTACATGATTTATACCAATTTGAACAAAACTGGTTAAGCCTTTCCCAGAACCAATGAGAGAGCATTGTTACCTGAAAGATTTGGGTGACCTAAATACTTCTGGTCAAGAGGTGACTCAGGTTTGTGGCCAATGGGCCTCTTATAATGCTTGTTAAAACTTAATATGAACATTAATATTAACTTAATATTAACTTTACATAATTTTCTTTAAGTCCAAAATATTTTTCATGCTAGTGCTTACAGCATTCTTACATTTTTAGTAGAAAGATCCTGGCAGAGCTAGGTATTGAACCTGGTACCCAGTAAATCTTTGTCATTGGAGATGTACTTGGATGTTATGCCTTTGGTCATTAAACTTATGATGATATAAAATTGGAACAATGATCAATAAAATATTTCTTTATTCATCCATAATAGCATCAGCTATTGATTTTTTAAATAATACAAAATTTCAGATCTTATGTACAATACATGATTCTGCAAAATCCCTGCAGTTTATAAAAATTAAGGCATTCTTATTAACACTCTTCCATTTTCAAGCAAACTGTATCACAGATTTAGATATGGTAATCCTAAATTGTGGTCAGAGAACAACACAATTTATACCATACAAACATCTCTTTCATCCATACACATACAATGTATATTAAATCAGAATTTCTTTCAATACAAAACAATGCATAATATAACCTGCCTTCAATAAAACGAGACAAATTTCATTCATACTCACACATCTTTAATCAGAATTTCCTTCAGTACAAAACAATGCAAAATAACCTACATGTACCTTCCATAAAACTCAACAAACATATGCACTCATTGATAAAAACGCACTTGAGGGGATAATCAATATTGCAAGACAGTTTTCCTTAATTTAATGCCCATTTGAATGTACTCTAAGCTATCGTCTATATTTATCATAGCGTTCCCTTCCTGGACTAGAGTGGCCGTTTCTCCTGCGTTTTGTGGAATGTCTTTCTGGGGAATAATAATGGTCCTTGTCTTTGTAGTACTTTTTCCTGCTGGAGGACTTGTACCGGTCCGGAGATCTACTTGGAGACAGGCTCACACTTCTGGAACGTGAATGTTTCTTCCTTTTATGGGAATGTTTGTGATCTTTTGATGACACATAACGGTCATATGAGCTGATATATTTGTCCTTTTTATGCTTCTTTGATGGAGGAGATCGAGATCTGCTGTGTCTTCTGCTTCTCCTGGGGCTTTTGCTGTTACTCCTACTTGATGAGGACCTATGGTATCAGAAAAGTTTTGTAACATGCAAACATTCAGTATAATGATCTCTTGATCTGTTTTCGATGTATTTCAAAATATGATGTTTATTCATTAGTTGCTTACCTGCCCCTGCTTCTTGACCTTGATTTTTTAACATTGTTCCTTCTGTAAATAGACCAAGTTTTATTTTCTTTATCAATTATTTTGAATTCAGGCAATGTTGTTATGCTTAATAATCTGAATTTAAAATCTAATTTTCATTTCATTTACAGTGGACCCTCAGATATCCGGACGCTTCAGTTTCTGGACGATTTTTCATGGGAACGGAATTTTTTAACGTTATTTTGTCTCGTTTAACCGGAATTCCGCGTTCCGTATCCGAACGGTCTTTTTTTCACCACAAAATGAATTTTTACGTTATATTTTGGTTCATTTATCCGGAGGGTAATTTTTAATTGGTCTGTCAACTCTACTCAAATTTCTAGATCTGGGTGTTAATTGTTGTAAAAACACTGGCCTGGCCGTTTGTTTTAAAAAATGATCACCTGTGACCTGTTATCAATGGCTTGCGGCAAGGTTAATTATAGGCTGATGGGTACGCACGAGACTCTCGCTTCTCTAAGTAAACATGTATTTGATACGTATTAATTAAGGGAAATGCTCTTTATTTATGTCCATGATTTTTTTGTAGTCGGCAAATATATTTCTTTTACTGTTAGAATACAGTCGAAAATTGGTTTTATGTATTGCTATTTATAGACATGACATCCAGGGTACTCTTTATGCACAGTATTTTGTGTGCAACACGGATTTTTATATTATTAAATCACTTTCATTATTAAAAGTCATTAATACGATCTTTCTTGGGATGATTATGAATATCAAATAAAAATAGAGATATCAAAAGATTTTTTCTCTACCAGCTCTACAGACTCTTAGCTGGGAGGAGTTGATTTATAAGACACGGGGAAGTAGAAATAATTAATGTTTTCATATAAATAACGTTTCATCCAATGACAATTTACTTTTTTATTTTATTTAAACAAGTATTGAATAACTATTACTAACGTATATTAAAGTATTTAAACAATAAAACTTAATGATATAAAGCAGCATTCTTAGCTTTTCTATTGCCAATGGTATGAAACGCCATATAACTAAAATCAAGGCAATTCAGGTATCCGGACGCTTCACATATCCGGACAAATTGACTGGGAACCAAAGCGTCCAGATAAATGAGGCTCCACTGTACTTTGAATTTAACGCAATATTGCCATGCTAACAAAATTTAAATAAAATCATGCTAAATTTCTTTTGCTGTGAGTTTACCCACAGCTTGATCAATCTTCAACAAAACTGACCCATTTTCTGAGTGTTTATCCTCCTCTTTGATGCGCTTCAGAGCATGCAGTAGAGCAGGATTGGGGCTCACATTTTTTGGAGAACCTACAAACATAAATGAAAACTGTTACACTACTGAATGTTTAATTTCATTTCTATGACATGTAACTTGATAAAGAAATAATATGAATGGTAATACAATTTACTAACTGGGTCTTGAGGAATCTCTAGGTGTACCATAATCTGACGAGAGGCCTTTAGCTTTATTTTTTGCTTCTAACTGTGCTTTCTTCAACTCATTCACTTTTGCTTCCAGTTTTTCATGATTTGGCTAAAATAAACTTGCCTTTATTACATGCAATCAGTGATATGAACATTGTGATTAATTCATATTGATCATGGAAATTCTGAACAAGGTATTTTACACTAAATACATTAATGAAAACATCCCCCTTTTTTTTAAAACTTAATACTGAATACATTAATGAAAACTCTGTTTTCTCTTTATACATTTTTTTTAAAAGTGCGACATTTTTCTTTCTTTCTTATAGATCAGTACCAAATTAACAATCTCCGCAAAGTAAAGTATATCAAAATTCTTACTTCATTTAACTTGAAAAATTTTATTGAGAGCTTTAAATGGAAAAAATGATAGTTCATGTCCATGCTACTTACTCTAGGTCTGGCATAAAGCTTCAAGATAGTGAGACAGATTTCCTGAATGTTTTGTTCATCAACATTAAATATGGCAAACCATGATGGACTATTTGGCAGTGGGATCTGCAAGAAGAAACAAATCAATTCAGGAACGAAGTTATGATCAGTTTTAAATGCTATTATATTCCCTTTTTTCCAAACTTGGTCCAAACAAAGTAGATATGCATCAAAATTTCAGATTTTTAAGTACTTAATAATCCTGCAGTCATGTTTATAAATATGTATGTTACTTACTTGTAGTTGTCTTGCAGCTAAATATATACAAGCACAGGCTATCGTCTCTGGCTGGAATCTAACAAATACATCTGTTCTGAAACTGTCATTCATGTAGTTCCTGAAAAAAGAAAACAAGAACTATAGTATTTAACTCACTTAACAAATTCTGCAGTTAGTGTACATAATTTTTCATATTTTGTTTTTGGTGGGCATGTGTGTTGATGTTTGAGTCCTACATGGTTTGTTTGATACCTTCAAGTTCAATCAACATTTCCTTTTGCCAGCATATCAATCCCTAGTTTGTGTATCAGAGAAAACCATAAAAATACCAACCATTTTCCTTCTGCTGCTGACAAGAATGCACCACAAGTTGTTCAGTTCCTGTGTAATTAATAATTTGTTAAAAAATAAAGAAAAAATAAAAATTATCAAGACAGATATTGACCATCTGCTTGCTTGCCAACATTCCAGTTTCTTCCAGAACAGTCTGATTCTTCACAGGAAAGTCCTTCAATAGAGGTCCAGTTTGTTGAGGGAACAATTAACTGCTGCAAAAGTTGCTTGTCAAGTACACACTTGTTGACAAAAGTTGACTCCTAAAAATGTTCACTCTTCTAATTTGTTATCCATACACAGAATGTGAAAGTTTTATCAAACATGAATCACTTTATAAATATGTTTTTTTTTTCTTTTCCTCTGTGAACAGAATTAAGCTTTTCTCTCATTTCAGCAAGACAATAACATTTATAGCAAGACATGAAATGTTCACCAGTAAACTCTTCCATATTTTATCAATAACACAACTGAATTCTTCCATGCTTAGATGGAATACTTCAGTTACTTTATGGATGCTGGTTCCAGTCTGGTGACTTGGTTCTGTTCTGTCCACGTGTTACCTGTGTGCCAGGTCATGTAGAAGAGGAGGACTTGAGAACATTGTAGAGAATTCTGGCAGCTAGGCAGACGTTGCAATGACAGACATCTCTACCCACCTAATTCTGGGGTAGGTAAAAAGGAAAAGTTCAGCATTAATATGGTTTTCTCATATAACACAAAGAAATGTGACTGAAGGTATTGAATGAACATATCATATTCCATGTTTAGTTTCATGAAGTGCCCTGGCTATAATAAATCTGTCACTTTATTTCATAGCAATTTTTACAAAAGAAGAATGAACAAATACAGGATTGAAGTGTTTAAAATCATCATACTACACTTTAATACAAAAGAGAGAATGTCAAGAGGCTGGCATTTTTACAATTTTTGATACAAGTACACACAACTTACATTATATTCCAAGTTAGTAGATCAGCAATCAGTTTATTTGTTACATATATACTATTTCACTGTTGTAATCCATCCGCTGAACTTACATATTTATTTCTTTTATAGTAGATATAAAACATAATTTCAGGTTTGTTTTCCCCCCTCTTAACATACACGTGTATTATTTTCAAAACAATGAATGTGCAATGTTTTTTCCCCAACAAAACTGTGAGAACCTTACAAATGATTCAAAATACATGTGTAACTTTGTGTAACATATAAAATTAAACAGCATTTTTAACATAATCATTCTCTACAGAAACAAAAAATGGATATATTTCATGTTCATAATGCAAGAATATTGTACATAAAAGAATACCTACCATGCACACTGCACAAGTCTCTGATTTTTCTCAGCTTCTAGAACTTGCAAGTACATCACAATGACCTGAAAAACATCGGATCATGACAACAAATGTTTCAAATTAATTAATACCATGGTCTGACAGCAAAAACCATGATAACCTTTCCATGCCACGGCAACTTTTGCTGCAACTTAAAAAGCATTAATTTGACTTTTCTTGCAACTTTCTGCATTTTAATTTATTTTAAACCTGTAAAATATTAATATAATTAGCGTTTTAAAGTCAAATTTACTTTTAGAATTCAAATACTGATATACCTTGTGAGGGTGTTGTACATGTACACAAAATCCCAGTTCTTTAAGTATACGCCGCTCAGCTTTTATGACTTGATTTTTGGTTGTTATGTAGTTCTGGTCTAATATCAATGGATGGATAGTCCTAAAATGAAAAAAAGCAAAACATGGCATACAATGATAAACTGAGTCCTGTGCTTGCCACACAATTCCTCCATCTTCATCTTCTTTCTGCTTTATTTTCCCACATGGTGAACAGTGCCTTTGAAATTCTACTTTCTCACACACGTTACATCATTTTGTACATATAATACAGTCACAACAAAATGCAGTTGTTTTATTTCCATTTTAAAAGTATACCTGTGGTAAGAGGCCCTTTAATTAATATTCATACTCTAAACAACATATGCAAGAAGAAAAACAAAAGCATCTGCTCAGTGCTCAAGATGAAATTGTAAGTCCTCAGCATATGCTTAATACAGTTTAATAAAATTTACATAATCAGCAAAATTAATCATAAATGAATAGTCTCTGCTACAAGTTGAAGAAATTCAATGTTGTTTCCTCAGTTTTAGCTATGCTGAGGCCACTGGTAGTAAACTGATAAACCCAAACACATATACAAACCATGCTCACTGACAAAACAGTGATAACTTTGATGGCCACAACATGTAGGAAAACCATGTTTGGGGTCAAAGGTCACCAATATCCCGAAATGATTCAATGCCTTGGAAGCTCACTCCAGACACTGTTCAATGCAGCAAAGAGAAAGACAATATTAATGGAGGAATTGTGAGAAAACAAGGACAAAACCCTGCAATCATCAATATATTAAATTTTTACAGAACTTATTGACATTAATTTATCACTAGTACCTAAAACAGACACATATTTCACATTAAAATGCATAAGCTTTCAACAAGCTGCAAGAAATGCATGTCTACCTTTGGTCATTTCATAGAAATGAAAAGAAAATGAAACTTACTTCTGGCTTCTCACTTGTTTGATGTGATGGAAAACATTGATTACATCTCTTAATCTTCTAGGACATTCTTCAATTTTTGAGGCTAAATTTATACAACCCATTGCAACAACCTAAAAAAATTTAATAAAAGAAAGTTATTTCCACGCTACAATGAAATGAACAAAACCTAAGTGAAATCATGACTATGAGGCCAAACAACTTATTAGAAGTTGCCACCTTTTCTTACAAAAAAAGATTTCCAGCTATAACTTACATTTACTACACTACTGGAAGTATGCAATAAATGTACTCAATAACTTGATCAAATCAACATCAGAAACCATTAAATGTTATAGATATTGTCAAAAAAAAAAAAAAAAAAATGCATTTCTCTGGTGAAAAATTGTTGAAAATGAATTAACGATCATAAAAATGTTTACAATAGATATCAACGGCATTAAGTAAGCACCACACAATAACTTCAAGATTGTTCCATAAAATTGCGGCAACCGGAAGTTAGGTGGATTTGGTAGGGACACCAAGGCACTGGATGACTACTAAGCGATATGGTTGTCAATCAGGGTATATCATTTGATTTTTAAGTGGGAGACTGCTCCCATCATGGACTACCATCGGTAATCACCAACTTCATATCTTGGCAAAAATGGTGCGCAGTGCACGTTGGGACATTGGTTTTCAGACAAGAAGGTCCTTTAAGTGTCTTGACATGACATCAAGACAATTGTCAATCCAACTGTTTTGGAAAAGATGGGGTATTTTATATAATAGTACCAATCAGGAAAATGATCAATTCACAAATAATAATAATAAGTGGTGCGTTAGCAGTTTTGTCTAGTGTATGTATTCTTCCTTCATATTTCATTCCATGATAAAACTCTGCTACTTTTTATTGGATTGAATAATGCCATGCAATGTCACTGTCTAGGATAAGTGTCACCAAAATTGAAAAATGAAATGTTCCACAAATACATGTATATATCTAAGTTTTTCTTTGTTTATTCATTTTGAAGACTGTCTCAATGGTTATACTGTCTGACATATTTAATTTGTATCAAAATTTTTATTTCATTGTAGCATTACCTCAAAATTGTGCTTCACTAAAGACTTTGAGTAATAGAAACGCTGGTAGAGAATCTGCCCTGTAGCCATAGCAACCTATATAAAATGAAAAAAATTATATTCTTAATATTCTCATGGTAGGATCACTCCTCAGGCAAGCCTTTCAAAAAACAAAATCTACTAATACCCATTACTTTTACCCAGCTGAAATCATGACTGTACCACCCAAAATATTTGTTGGAGAAAAATTCGGTAACATTTTTATATTAAAATCATTTCCACATGGTACCTCCTATTTTTGTAAAAGTACCACCTGTTTCTAATCTTTTTGAATAATATCATTCATGAAATAGGTAAATAACAGGTCCAGTACAATCTCTTGATTTAGCTATATAGCTTGATTTTGCTATTCAGAATAGCTTGATATAGCTATTTATCACACTTTTTTCTTAAATGTGTTATTTTTTCAGCATGTACAAAAAGTCGCACCTTAGTGCAGTGATAATTTTCAACCTTGAACTCTTCTGAAAATAATACAATTAAAAATCACTTTTTAAATTGCTTCTCCTTGAGAGACTTTGTACTCTAAGTTCTTAAAGTTTTGGGGCAATTGGTTTGTAAACATACAGTTACTTCTTCAGTGAAATTATAAAGAAGGCCAATTATGGTCAACAAGATAATTGATTGGTAAGTAATTCAGTACAATGAGAGGCAATCATACTTATCCACGCCTCAACGCAAACAAGGTAGTGTACAGTTACTCAAACAATGGAAATTCATCTTTTGCTAAAAGTATTCAAAAGCTGCAATGTTATAACTATCTTTGATTTTGGTTGTTGGTTTGATAGCCCATAGTAAATATATGAATAATCAAATACTTGTGACTTTTTGTCTATTTCTTACAAAAAACATTTTTGTGAAAAACTGCATATAAATAGCTAAATCAATCTATTTTGAATAGCTTAGTAAAGCTATAGTAAAGCTATATAGCTATTTCAAGCTATATAGCTAAATCAAGAGATTGTACTTAACCTGAACAATAGTATAAATAGTATACATTAATTTCTTTGAGAAACTGTTTCAGCTTCTCTTCTTTGCATTTAGTAGTCTTTCACTAAACATTGGCTAATTACACGGGTGCGTCGATTTACCCAAATGGACCCAAATGGAACCCAAATGGAACCAAATGGACCCAAATGGAACCCAAATGGACCCAAATGGAAACTTAAATGGACCCAAATGGAAATCAAATGGACCCAAATGGAATATTAAATATATATTATTGTATTTTCAAGTTGTTACTTATTTAATGAACATAATAAACTTGCAAATGGAGAATATTAATTATTCATTTCTAATATTGTATTTTAAAATACGAATTAATTTTTTTTCTATTTGTAACTTTTGCATATCATTGAATACAAATTGAAGTATTTCAAATTAAAGTCTATTTAGTGGCCGTAGGAACCCGGGGGGGAGCACGGGGGAGGCGCCGCACCCCCCCCCCACCCCCAGTAATTTCACCGATGTATAGAATACTATAGAAAATTAATTCGTATTTTAAAATATAATATTAGAAATGAATAATTAATATTCTCCATTTGTAAGTTCGTTATTTTCATCATTTTAAATAAGTAATAACTTGATAATACGATAATATATATTTAATATTCCATTTGCTTTCCATTGGGTCGATTTGATTTCCATTTGGGTCCATTTGCATTTCCATTTGGGTTCCATTTGGGTCCATTTGTGTCCATTTGGGTCTATTTGGGTTCCATTTGGGTCCATTTGGGTAAATCGACGTGCCGTAATTACACTGCTCTCTACGCCATTACGTATTCAACAGGTTGGGCACACCCCACCAAATGGTCATTTATCCCCCGTTTGGTGGACAATCTCCCATATCGGAGACGAATTTTACTGACCATTTGGGAGAGAAAAATGGTTGTGTTCAATTCCATAGAATGGCGTGGAATGGCGCATAATTTTAAACCACGTGGAATAAAATATAAATATTTATCGGTGTTTTGAGTGAAAAAAATCGGAAATTCAACGTGTAATTTTTTGCGCAGAGTCGTTCAAAAATTTGAAAAAAAAATGTCACGTATGTAAACAAGTGCAACGTTTCTCCGTTTTTACTTAAAAAGAAACTTTCCTCCTTCTTCTACGATGCTGCACCTGTCAATCATGTTCTTTACTTTCTATTTCGATTATCCGGGCAACCAATCAAATAATGCAAACCAATAAAAACGATGATCTTTTTTTAACCTGGTCAAAAGTCGGATTTTACTACGGAGGTACATTAGTGTCAATTTTCAATGAGAAAATCAAAAGAAAAATAAGTTTTCGCCTTTATTTCATTTTATTTTGTATTCAATAGCTTTATTCTCTATAAAAATAGTAAATGAAGTTAGTTTATGATATAATTATTGTTTTAAAACGATGTACTTCGAACGAATACAAGAATAATTGCAAAAGTCACTTTGTAAATCTTTTATTGAAAATTATTTATCAAGTTATTAAATTCATCAGTAATATACATATTATACCACAAAAAGGTCGTATGGAATATGCAACTTCATCCTAAAAGAAAAATAACAACAGATATTACGTTCAAGTATAGAAAAATATAACTTTTTAGCAGTAAGTGCCCACCATACCAGTAAAGTAATGAGGAGCTCGTGTTTAACGGGATTTTATGGAAATAAATATTGACGAAGATCCAAAAAGTGATTGAAACTAAACTTATCAAGAGTTCAACCACTGGATAAAATAGAATTTTTATCCTACTAGACACAATCAAATTTTTTTTGATCGAGTGATCAAGAAGTTCGGCTGTTACGGACAACTATGGGTATCGTTTTTAGGAAGTTACGGAGAAATTGCACATGGGAAATCGACCGAACTATGTTAATTGTGCGACGAATATGTTCACTAAAATTCCCCAATGCCTAAGTAAATGCGCTTTTGCTTTATTTTAATAAAATTTGGAATAGAATAAAGAAGTCCACCATTTGGTCAGTAAAATTCGTCTCCGATATGGGAGATTGTCCACCAAACGGGGGATAAATGACCATTTGGTGGGGTGTGCCCAACCTGTTCAAATCGTAACTTACTACGTTACAAGGTCCATGCCTTACACTACCATTGAACTCCATAAATATAAATCTAATATCACATGACACCTTTTCTTTTCGTATAAACCTAGAAGATGTCATGTAAACATCATGTATACTAGGAAAATATTGAAAAAATCCTGCATATGGTGTACATACTTGAGGTAGTTTTAAAAGAATCCCTGCGGACTGAATGAGTTCACAACCAAGGATTCTTAAGTCTGTTTCTGTATCCAGATCAAGTCCATCCTGCATGGAAGGGGTTGGAGAAAGTTTATCATCTGGAATAAGTACATTTTCTAATGTCAAAATCACTTTGCTGAAGTCGCGAATTGCAAGTGGATTCGCTTTCACCTCCGCCATTTCTTTTGGAACAATGGAACTACTTTCTGAACTTCATGCGCGGTGTGTCATGTGAAAAAAAATATATGTGAAAGTAAAAAAAATCAAAATATCATTCATATAACCATAATCTTCCTTTTGGCTTTGAGATTTCAAGATATATCAATATAATACATAGAAAATGAATATTTCTCGAATTTAGTTCGTGATCTATTTCTAGGTAAGTTTCATGACGTATTTCACATTAAATAGATGGCGTTTTGATCGATCTATGTACGCAGGAAAATTCTGATGATAGTGATACACTACTCAAAAACTCATAAGTCATCAAGAAGATGTCTAAATTAATGACAGTTACTTTATTTACATTAGTTCAAGTTACCGTTTACTGCAGACCAAAAAACCTTAATGTTGTTGAACAATCCATTTCACCTGAACAAATCAATGCTGAAAAATTACTCCCTCCTGACCACGTCGATGCTCTTAAGTTTGAGAAGGATGGCCACATTAATAAAGATTATCGCAAAGAAATATTCCTCGGCAACCACGAAGAAATTGATGACGACCCAATAGAAATAGCAGAGGCAAAACTAGTGGATATTTTTCACAAGTAAATTATATATATATATATATATATATATATATATATATATATATATATATATATATATATATATATATATATATATATATATATATAATTGTGAAAAATATATATTGTCAATATATATATATATATACAGGTCCAGCATCTCTTGATTTAGCTATATAGCTTGAAAAAGCTGTATAGGTTTATTAAGCTATTCAAAATAGCTTTATAAAGCTATTTTTGTGCAGTTTTTCAGAAAAAATGTTTTTTGTAAGTAAAATACAAAAAGTCGCAAGTATTTGACCTACCGAAATTAAAGATAGTTCTAACATTGCAGCATTTGAATACTTTTAAGCAAAAGATGAATTTCCATTGTTTGAGTAACTGTACACCACCTTTTGTGCTTTGAGGCGTGGATAAGTGTGATTGCTTCTCATTGTACTGAATTATTACCAATCAATTATCTTGTTGACCATAATTGGCCTCTTTTATAATTTCAATGAAAAAGTAACTGTATCAATTGCTTTATATAGCCCCAAAACTCTTAGAACCTTGAGTTCAAAGTCTCTTAAGGAGATGCAATTTGATGAGTGATTTTTACATGCATTATTTTCAGAAGAGTTAAAGGTTGAATATTATCACTGCACCAAGGTGTGCTGAGAAAATAACACATTTAAAAAAAAGTGTGATAAAATAGCTAAATCAAGCTATTCTGTATAGCTTAATAAAGCTATATAGCTAAATCAAGTGATTGTGCTGGACCTGATATATATATATATATATATATATATATATATATATATATATATATATATATATATATATATATATATATATAATATTCAAAACTATATCAAAATGTTTCATATTGATACATATTTTAGAAAACAGCTGTTATGTATAAGACAGCTATACAAACTTTGTCAAATGGACAAAGCTAACCATGTTTACCAGGCAAACCATCCTCGCAAGCCAGGGGTCCTGAGTCAACATTTTGCCATTGGACCCCTGGCATATTTCATTCAATATTTGTGGGCTGACTGTAGCGACATCTTTCGGAAAAATTACAAATCTTGATTGTTTTTCTTATCTCTCAACCAATCACATTAAGCCATTCTATAATAAACAACTTGTAACACATGCATTTGAGGTGTCAACTGAATCCTTATCTAACTATTTATGAAAGCTTTAATTTGATTGGTGCTTCTCAATGAGAGAAGCAAGCCCACGAATATTGAATGAAATATGCCAGGGGTCCAACGGCAACGTGTTGACTCAGGACCCCTGGCTTGCGAGGATGCAGGCAAACATGCACAATTACAATGAGTACTTATCCCTTTACCAAAACTTGAAACATTTATGGCCCTTTGGTCCAGGTCCTGGGGTAAGGTTGAGTTGGTTACGTATTAAAAATACATTACATCTTTGAAAAAATTTGTGTTAACAATTAAGTGCTAACGCTTCGCCTTCTACCAAGATTTGGAAATTCATGTCCCCTTAGTTCAATGTTCAGGCCATAAAGCATACGTATGGGGTTTAGTTGTTCATATATTGAAAATATATTATACTTTTGAAAATCTTTTTAGACATTTAGCAGGCACAGTGTTTCATGTCAAATGATCTTGATGGTGACTAAACTTGCATGGATGATGCAACTAGGGATGCACACTACCATACTTGCTGCAGATGCTGGATTTGACCTACATTTTGTGAATGATTGACCAGGTTAAAGTTTTTTGAGCAAGTGCATTTCCAAGTAACTAAAAGGCCTACGGTCAGTATGGTGACTAAACTTGCATGAATGATACATAGAGGGATGCACATGACTACCAGACATGCTTATGATGCTTTGGGTGCTGCATCTGATCTACATCTTGTGGATGAGTAACCAGGTTAAAGCTTTTGGGACATATCCATAACTATAAGCAGTATAGTGACTAAACTTGCATGAATGATGCTTCAAGGGATGCATGCTACAAGGTTAATTATGCTCCCAGTTTGCTGGACATGACGTACAGTACAATTTCTGGATGATTGCATGAACAGCTTAAACATTTTGGAGCAGGTCCATTCCTAACTACAAGATTTTTAGGAGGTAAATTTTGGTCAAAACTCTGTCAGATCTGATTTATAAGCTAGTCCTAGAAACATCAGAAGACAAGGTTTAGATAATAACACCAATGATTATCATCAACAAATATTGGGACATACAGGAAAGGGAAATCTAAGGTTACCATATGCGTTATGCACAAATCTATACAGATTTTAATGAATTTGTTTTTGTTTAAATTGTTAAAAAAGATTAAATATCAATATCATGCCCAAAAACTTACTCTGAAACTCAGGTAAATACTGTAGAATATTAATCTTAAATTGGAACAGATTCTGGCCAAACTCTGTACCAATTAAGACAGTCCATGGCAAATGCCACTTAAATTATATGTCTGAAAATATAATACCAACTTATAGGTAAACTGATTTATAGGTAAATCATAAGTAATTTAAGTCATACTGTGAATGGATTTTTAATGTACTAAATGGAATTTTCATGGATGATGCATCCACGGATGCTAACACAGATGAGCTTTGTGACACACAGGTTTCTTATTTGTTGGTTCTAGGATAGATATGGATGCTGACGGTTATTTAAGTGAAAATGAGCTAGAGTTATGGATTCTTGACAAAATTAATGCCCACATGGATGAAGCCGTGGAGGAAAATGATGCTGTTTTTAAACATTTGGACCCAGATGGAGATGGTTTGTGAATAAAATTTGTAATGAGATTAAAATATTAGTACAAGTATTCAAAATAAATTAAGAATGTGCTATTAGAACTTAGAGAAGTCACAAATTATTTGGAACTTTGTTTGCTTAACTTTCTGGATTCATTTCAGGATTTGTAGAATGGAAGGAATATTACAAACATTTTTTACTGGCAAAGGGACATGGGCTTAAAGAAACTGAAAAATACCTGGAAGACTATGATACTGATATACTAAAAGAGGACGGTAAGAAAATAATGATGACTTACAAATAGCCATAATGAGGTATGCTTCATTAAATATTTTGATATTTTTATGAGTTAAAAATGATTGAAATCATATTTTATTTTTTTTTTCAGAACGGGATCAGCTTGTACGATACAAATTTAAATGGACAGATGCAGACATTGATCCCATTGATAATAAACTGGACAAAAAAGAATTTTTTAGCTTCCGTCACCCGGAACAAAGCCCTCAGTTGGTGGAAAACATGATCATGTCAATAATTAATTCATTAGGTAAGGTTAAGAGGGTAACATTCAAAGTAGACTTTTTTTCTGTTCTGGACAGACTAATTTTAATGACTGGACAAAAATATCACATTGTGTAAATGTGCTGCACTTCATTATCATTTTAAATCATTTAAAATCCACATTCAGTATGTTGTGGCTATAGCACAATGGAATATGTTACAAGTCCATGACAGTGAGAAATCAATAGATTTTAGTTCGATCCTTTCATAGAACATTTTTTTTTCTAAACAAACAATCAAGTTGTTTAATTGTCAGTTTAATTATATTTACTGATTTATTAAATTTTTTTTAAAAAGCTAAATTTTGATTGTGTTGCAAAGAAAATTGACAATTAATTAAGCAAGAAAAACAAACATTAACTGCCAAAACTTGGGAGGGGGTAGGATATTTCTCTAAATATTTGGCAATTAACATTTTGCAACGTACTGCTACAAAAAAGGGAAAAGTGGATGATTGGGCCAGAGTGCAATCCATGTGAATGATAAAGAATCTATGGCAAAAGACAATTCTTAAAATGGGGGATCCCCCATCCCTTGAAGCACCTTTTAGTAATTTGTTTCTGTCTAATTTTAGATTTAATTTAAACATTTTTCTTTTTTCAATTGAGCGAATCTCAATGTTACCATCACTTGTGATGCAGAGACAACAAGTCCGACATTATTTCTATAAGGGCTATTACTCTAATTTCAGAAAGAAAACATTATAAAAAGATGTTTTCTTAATAATGATTATAATATCAAAATATAAAAGCAAGCATCGGCCATATTGCAGAATAGTAATTCTCACCTGCTGAAATAATAGCAGTCATGTTTCACATTTAAACTTGGCCAATGAATATGCAACATTTCAATGGGAGGGGAAATAAATAAATGTATATAAAATATCTTTTTTTCTTTATGATGCAGATGAAGACAAAGATGGCAATTTAACACTGAAGGAGTTTATGACAAACTCTGATGAAATGATGCAGGATGCGGGGTCTGAGAAAGAGAGGGAGGAGGAGAGAGAGGTCCGAAAGAGGGAATTTGTATCAGCCATCGATAAAAATAGTGATGGAATAGCCACAAAACAGGAATTAATAGTAGGCTATCATGATTTAATGACTGTTACAAGTTAGTTATTTATATTATAGAGTATCCTGCCACGTACACATGTACTTGGTAGAATAATGCAAAAATATTACCTTTGATTGTGTTTCCCATTAAAATATTTCCAAACACAAACTGATACGATACAGTAAGAGGGAAGGACAAGTGATCATGATATCACTAATAAAACTAGAGGTACTGTTAGCACTGAGCTCACAAAATGTCACCCCTTGTTCCCATATTAGTATAACGTCAAAGTGCATTTCTTGGCATTATGTAAATGAGATTCTGTAAAAGTTCCATTGATATTCATTCAGGGGTTGCATTAACATCAGGAGGAGTTGCGTTAACAAAATTGGCACCCCCTTTATTATAGAATATAATGGCAAAGTTCATGTTTTGCTAGGGAAACTTCAAATATCTGTCTGATCAAAACATAAAATAATTAAGAGTTCACAATGGCACTATGTCATAAATATTCTGTGAAAGTATCATTAAATTTTTTTTCAGTGGTATAGAAGGAGTTGCAGGAGGGGTATAAAAATGAAATAAAAATAAAAATTATTGGTGCCTATTTACAGGATTATGATTAAGGACGACAGACCTAATTTGAAAAGCCGATGACCCATTTATTTTCTGGCATAATTTGCTGGTAAATTGTCTTGTTAACATTGTCCTTTAATATGAATAAAAATTCTATTGCAGATTTTTTTTTTCCAATGATCACTCTTATACCCTACACTGGCAATTTCCCATTACTTCCTATAGTAATTACTGGTATCGATTTCCATCGCCAACTTTTGAAACGCTCCCTATTAAAAATGTACATCGATGACCATATGATTTTTTTTATTGATTTTAACTCACCAAAAGTCACTTTACCTCATATTAAAATTTGAATAAAAAATCTATTAATGAATTAGGTCTGTCGTTAATAAAGAAGTTATGTGTTCCTGGTGTTATGGTGACTGTTTACAGGATTATCATTGTAATTGAGAAATAGTAATGTGTTTTGATGTCTATTTACAGGATATGATATATTTATGTAATAATGCGTTTTGGTGCATGCTTCCAGGATAATGATAGGTACAGAAGTATTATTTTTTTTATGCCTATTTACAGGATTATATGAATCCCAGAAATCCCCAACAATCCAAACAAGAAGCCAACAACCTAGTCTCCTTAATGGATGATAACAAAGATGGAAAACTTTCCCTAAAAGAAATCAAGAACCATAAAGATGTTTTTATCAGTAGTAAAATTGTTAATGTGAAAAAGGTGCTACATGACGAATTCTAGTCTATACTAGATAAATTTTTGTTTTACCTCTGAAGAGATAAAGATCTGGACTGTGATACACGTTAAGAACACCTGTTTGTTGTGTTGAGCATATCGTTAATATGTCAGTTACTTTTTTGAACAAATGATTTTGTACAATAGATTAGTTATACATGTATGAGCATAATATAAGTTTCTGTGGGCTAGGAATGTCCTAGATGATCATGACAAGTACTGGTGTGTTATAGTGACAATGTATTTTTGACAAGCTTTAATAAGTACACATTAACTTTTTCCAAAGGGTGTCTTTTCCCAGTGTTTCTCTGTTTGGAACATTTTGTTGAAACCCATGAACAGATTGTGATTGATTGATACAATGTGATGTGCAGTGATGGAAAGAATAAATCTTTTTGGGCAAAAATCTATTCAAGTATGTGGATTCAGGTTTTTATTCTATGATTATGTTAATGTTTACCTTTGGGCTAACTTTAAATACAAGTTTTGTCAGAAAGTGAGGTTTGTAGGGTTGTGAACATTCTGATCATTAGTAGAAACATTTTTTTATCATAAACATTTGAAAGCAGTAAAAAAAAGTTTGAAAATAAAAATATTACATGTGCACATTTTTTATATGCACATTTTTTATATGCTATGTTTATGCTTTATTGTACAAAGGGCTGAAAGTGAGATTAGCTTATAATTTTTGGTAAGGATTAATGCTTACATACATGTATAATCCACAATCAATAGCTAGAAGAATAGGAAAAAGTGTGCATATGTTTAATTACTGTAATATTATTATTATCATGTATTAGCATTTATTGCTTGAATTTAAGAATGAATGTATTATAACAGCTATTATTTTTCATTATTTATTTTGTACATTCCAACATAATTATTAGTCTCCTACCTGTGAAATTGGAATGGACTATAGGTTTTCTCTCAGTCCGTTCCCGTCTTTCAGTCAGTCTGTTTCACTTGGTTTTTAGCTTTTCCGTGTTGCTTGCATATAATTATCTTATCTTTTGATGAGGTATGGATCAAGTTTTTTGTTGTCATTCTGCTTTGATAATATTAGACAGAATTATGGCCCATTCATGTAGGGGACTTAGTATTGCTTATAAATGCTATACCCAAAGAATGCTTTTTGTACTTGCATCTATAGGTTCATAAAACAAAGAGGTGGAGGTAGATGTATTGATACTGGCTATATCAATTACTGTTGGGATATATTCACCTTTTTCTATTTTGATGTACCCTAACTTAAAAATTTTGTAACCTGCAGTCTTTAGATTTATTTAAAGGTGGAGAACTGATTAGGGAAGACGCCCTAGATTTGGGGTCACTTGGTCAAAGATCAACTTATGATAAGTCTGATGCAGTAATATCCATAGTTTTTAACCATATTTACCAGTACATTTTTATTATGTATTAAGCAGTAGACTGAAAAAAAATATATTTAAGTCATTTGAACAAGAGTCATGATTATTGATATAGGAATTATACATGTAGGTGGTATGCAATAGCTGAGGTAATTTTAAGCTAACAACATCATTTTCATTATGCTAGTAAAGAGTGCAAGATATGAGGTCTCTTTCTTAAAGGTCAAGGTCCATATTGATATCATGTACAGTTTGAGTGTCAGTTTCATAGTTATGACATTGTTTTTTTTTTTTTTTTCGATATAGCTGTACCGTGTAAAATGGTAGGTGATGCCTTCTTGTAGTTTTGTACCGACTCATTTTTAGAGAGAAATATGTGTAATGGAGGATTTGAAATGTACCTGAAATCAATACCATACATATTCCAAATGTATAGAGAAACTTGGTACATAGCATTATATCAATTTTCCTTTCACCTCTGTATATGAATATTACTAATTATACTTCCATTTATTGAATTTAATTCATTTGAATTGTTTGGAAATTTCTAAATTACAATATCAGTGATAGTACATATGTGAGTTTAGTAGACATATTGATATCCCTTCACAGTCATAGAAATCCACTATACCCATATTTAACTGTTCATATTCTTTGTGAGACTGTTTGTTGATTAAGTTTATCATTATTCCTTTCCAAAAATCCATTAATTTATTATCTTGATTAGACTGTAATTTATTAAATTATTCTACTTTATCTCTTTCTTTTTTTTGCGTTGTTTATTTATGTGGTTCACTCAATCCTAGTCAAGGTCAAAATGTAATGATAACTGATGTCCTTCAATTTTTTGTGACTTGGTAATGCAATATTTTTTCAACCATAAAACTTTTTTTCCATTGAATAGACAGGGTATGGTTAAAGAAAGATAAATATGTATGTTTTGTCCCTCTATAAAAGGTCAAAGGGTAAATATTGATATAATGTTCTATATGCAATAAATCTAGCCTGGCTAAACTAGCAATTTCATATGTTACATAGTTTGTGGATTGGGTACAGTGTGAGATATGTAAATTACTCATAAAGGTCAGAAGTTCAACTCTTCACTTTGTATATGATTATAGGAAAATTTCAGTATACTTTTGGCTCACTCAAATATCAAGGTTCAATGGCCCCATTAATGATACATTAAGTTTTCTCTGTACTATTTGTGATGCATCTTCGCTAGCCAAGGGTTTCTGATACGCTACTCTCCTCATAAGGTTTATGAGGAGAGTAGCGTATCAGAAGCCCTTGGCTAGCGAAGATGTTTGTGATGTGATGATTCAATTCCTAAATGGAATGACCTTATATACATGAAGTATTAAAGTAGAGGATGTTTAAAGGAAAATATACCAATCAACTTAGGTTCTCTTTAACAAAGGTCAAGGTCAAAATTAACACTGCAAAGCCCATATGACTATAGTAGTCATTACATATTGTTGCATTTCCTGGGGATAAAGAAGTGAAAAGAATTTTCCAATTAAAGTCAAGCACACATTAAATTTTTTTTACAAGTTTATTCATTATAAAGTATTCAAAATAATTTCACAAAAATTATTTTTATTGTTATCACAAGAAAAAACATGTTTTTCATGAAAAGACAGACACACAACACACAGTATAAATACGGATCTTCTGTGATGATTCGATGTCAACATGTAAATGCATATACAATTGTACTCATAATGTACTACCTTTCACACAAATTATAAACATTGATTGCACTTTCTTGAAGGGAAAAAAAACCCAAAATTTGTTCATTAATTGAAATAAGACTGTGAAACATGATGTGTAGCACTAAACACATTTTAAAAAGTATTAACAACCTTTCTCACAGCACTGAAATAAATAACGTCAAGCACATCCAGTTTCTAAGTATGATTCATACTTTATTATTATCAGTAGTCCAAAGGCTAATACCAGTAACAATATAAAATCTAAACTCCAAATTTCCTCTACATATCACAAAGACAACTGTGGGACTTCTATAAATATATTGTGTTATAAACTTCTGAATCAATATAAATAATTTTTTATCATGATGTTGAATCTAATATTGCAGGTACCTGTCTGCGCTTCTTAAAATTTTATCTTCTTTAGAAGCAAAACAAAATAAAAAAAAACTACATATACTTGAGTAAATTCTGTTATGTTTCTTATACACAGTACCATAACTCTTCCAGTTATTTAGCAGGCATCAAATCTTCAAGAGGTCTAGAACATTCAAATTTTTTTCAATGCCCAGTCTCAAGCTAATTTATGGACAACCTTAAAGGTAAAATTTCCGACTCTTAAATCAAAACTGTAACTGTTACTGAAATATCATTTTAAAAAAAATTATCAAAAAATGAAGTTTTCTTCATTAAATATTGACTTTGAAACAAGGTTAACTTGATGGGCATGTGCACTGGACATAAATGTCATAATTAAGAAAACTTCCAATAATGAAAATATTCATTATATCAAAGCTACATGTAAATTTAGACCTCAATCTTTTGTGTAAAGTTGTGACCTCTAGGGTATTTTTATTTTAAATATTATCTGCCTTTTTATATTTATTTCTGTGCAATTTGCATAGCTTCAGTTATGGCCCATGTACTCATGTCTTAAATCTTTACTCTAAAATTTTTCATTTCTAAGGAGTTTCAACAAGGGAAGTAATTTGAAAATGACCAATACTCTGGTACAAGAGGTCTGCATATAAGGACATTGGATGGTAATTTGAATAGCATGAATATTTCCACATACATGTACTCATCAGCAAACTTTATTTCATGCACAAGGCTTAAAAACCTTTTGCTCTGAAAGTCTCTAAATGCATGGCCAAAGGCAGGGACTATAAACAAATTTTTTTCCCTATCAGGCTATGTACCAGAAGTGTTTGGTACTGGTTCAGTCATTTTTTTTCTTTTGAAATGAAGCTGAAGGTTTTCAAAACTTATGCTTGACAGACAGTAACAGACAGCAGTTGGTCACATGATAGACTCAGGTGACCCAGTAAGAGCCAAGCACTTTCTGTTCGCAATGCATGTCCACGGCTATCAGTAACTGGGATGACCTGAAAGACAAACCAGGAGTTCTCTGATCCTTTTATCTCTTCTCGAAACAAAAGAATAATTTTCTCCATCCCTTTGATTTCTTCCTCCATGTGCAAAAACAGAAAAAAAAATCCACTGAACACATGTTCGCATTTGAGAAAGGAAAGAAGAGAAGACAACCTCCATTGCTTTTTACTTGCTGAAAGCCCTCATGAAGTGGAATACCCAATCTACTTTAGTTGACCACTGTCCACCATGGGCAGTTTTAAACTGTAAATTAAAATACTTTGCAGCCTCTTCTTCAGTCTCTTCCACAGCTAATGTCTTTCTTACATAGCTTATATCATCCAGGGACTGTAACTCTGGGATTCCACATGACAACATCATGGTGAACAGATTAATGAGAAGATGAGCATGTCTACGGAGAACCATATAGGCCTCCAAACACAATGTGTTAAACCTGTAAGGTAAGAGTAAAAGAAAAATCATTGTAAGAGAAAGTTCATTCACAAAAACCTATAAGTGAAACAGTTACTGAAATATTTCTTAATTTTTTAAGTTTTACTTTAATGAACATAACCAGCTATATCTAAATTAAGCTTTTATTTCAGAATTCATTCTGAACATGAGCAATTGGGCAAGATAAGACTTACTCGGCGAAGAGGTCATGTTTAGTACTTTTGTCTGAGCCACGGACAATGACACGCACAAAGTCTTCTGTCAGAACAAAGGGCACTCGCTCTCTGTTGATTCCAAACTTCTTTTTCTTGTGGTTCAGGAAATGGCCAAAGTCAATATGAAATACCTACAGCAAAATTGTTCATTTGAATCAGAATAGGTTAGTGTGCTACTGTACATGAAATTCAAATATTTTGTTTCTCAAATCTTATACAATGTAGAAGACAATGTAATGGTGCCTATCTTAAAGAGCCTAGCTTTAGAAAGGAAAGCACAATTTAGAACACAACTAAACAACAAATTTACTGTGATCTGCTTAACCTTTGATGCATGATTCTTTGGTCAAGATCATTATAAATCTAATTATCCCCCAGTAGGTCTGATGGGCACAGGTGCAGCGTGTTTCTTTAAAAATTTACAAACAAGAGTTTGTCCAAACTGATGTCCAACTAAAAATAAGCATTCAATTCATTAAACCACCATAAAATATTACATGTACATACCTGACCATCCCTAGTACACATGATGTTCTCTGAATGTCTGTCTCCTATACCCAAGATAAATGTGGCAACACAATAGCCGGCACAGGAACGAGTGAATGTTTCTATTGCTTGATCATATCTAAACATAAATTTAATGTTATGCTTTTACATATGTGCATTTTCACTTGTGCATTTTCACTTAAATGACATAAAAAGTCTGTAAGCTTTTTTACAGTATCAATCTTTCAATAGCTCTATATTTACATCCACTGAATTTTTTTATAAAAACCACTTCCCTTAATCAATCCATTAACTCTAGACTAGTTAAAACAGGTTTTTTCAAAGCCACCTGTATGAAAGATTTTTCAAGAAGTGGGTTCTTCCATCAAATAAACATACCAGGATGTACAGATGTCAATAACACAATATAATTTTACATAGTATTACTTTGACCTACTTGAAATGATTATATATACAGAATAAAATATATATGATAAAATCTTCTTTTTGTGTTAATGCAAAAGGTTTATGGTTTAATTTACATTGTTTTCTCCAATAGTTGCAATTGTTAATTCTATGAAAACATTTTATTGTTTAAATGTATACACCAATAATCCAGATGTAATGAAGTCCTCAGAACTTACTTTTCCTTGCTTTCTTTGTTGTTTTCTTTGATCCACCTATGAACATTACTAGAATCGATCTGAAAAGCACCAGTTATAGTCTTTTTCTGAATGTCCATAATAGTCAGGGCATCACGGACACATTCTATCAGGCCCAGCTCCTTACCGGTGGATAGACAGCCATAAGGAATTAATCTGCAAAAGCCAAAGAATGATGTCTAATCACTCTTGAACTTACCCCACTAGTCCAATAAGATAGGGGAAAAAAGCACACAGGTACACACACAAAACATTTTACTCAACATAGCTACAAGAATTCTTGCTTATGAAAAAGTCAGGTTTGACTAATAGAGTAACATATTAATATGAAATTTTTATTGAATATATTGGTTTTACACAGTGTATGATGAAAGCATTTTTGTACACCTGCTCTGAATCCATTATACTGTTTTTTTTCATTTGATTTCATAATAGGTTAAACACATACCTTAAATCTAGCCCCTCCTCTTTCCACAGTGAATCCATTACCCTTAACAGCTGCAGCGTGAGCATATCCTGCCTTAGATCTGTAAGTTTATAAAGTACTTCCATCATGATATATTCTATTTCAATGTATCATAAATTATTATATTTGGACATTAAACAAATTCATTAATGGTACATGTATAACTTGAAAGAAAGCATGCTACACCTTACCATCTCCATTTTTGAAGAAGAACTTGAAGGAGAGGAAATAAATATCAGCCATTGGATCAGCATTCTGCCATGATAACTTTAGTGGTCGCTTGGCAGACTTCATCACTTTACAGTCTGCAGCACTGTTAAAAGTATATGTAATAAATACATCTTAAGATCTACTTTAAAAATACATGTATACCATTCTGTGGGCACTCAAAATCTTTACTTTCTATGGAAATCTTGCTGATTGAGTGACCTACCACAGATCTCCCAGTCTGTTGCTGTTGTTCAGCGGTGACAGGAAGTTACGCAGAGCTTCATGGTAATCAGGCTGCTGTAGTTGTAAATGGAGGTGTTTCATTTGTTCTATGTGGTCCTGGAAGCACAAAATTCATCATACAAAATTCAGTTTTTGAGAATTCAATAAAATCTTCCAATCTATACTCACTGTGAAATACCATATACTGATAATTACGCATTAACTCTTTCCAGAGGTTCTTTTCAAGGTGTGTACAGCAAATAACTACATGAACATCTAAACGCTAAATGCTTACATTTTTGACGTCCATTCGAAGAGCATCTGTAAGTTTAGTGAGTTTTTCTAGTGCCTCCACCTGCCTGGTCAAAACTTTTAAGTATGGCCCAAGGCCTCGACAGAATGCCTCCAGCACAAGTCCAAACCTAGTTCTAATGGCAGGGTGGTGCATTTCAGACCTACAGTTAGAAGAATAAAAATTTCAAGTGTTTCACTTCAAGGGGCATTTGTATAAATATCTTTTTGTTAATAATGATTGAGATAAATACTTACTTGAGATGCCAGAAGAAGATTTGTCCTATCTTTTGATTTAAAAGTGCTTTCTTCAGCAAAAATCTGGTGATTGGGTTATCTAGATATGGCTCGAATTTTAATGCCTGAAAGGAAAATACTTTTTAAAAATCTTTTCATACAAAGTGTAGCTCCTTACAAAGGAAATTTGAGTAATGCAGACCAAAGCATCAGATTGTAACCAATTTGAAAAAAATAAACTGCCTGAAGAAGTATTAAGGATGTCTGGAAATGACAAGATTATATAGTCTAATGAATGAATTACATGTACACAATTTCTTTGACTGGACTGATCTGTATGAATTGAAATGTACACTGTTTGTTAGTGGGACCTACCTGTACAAGCTGTAGAAGGTATCGTTGTAGTTTTTCATCTGTGAGTTTCTGTTCCATGCATCTAACAGCAAAGCTACGAACATGAGGATCGGGAAATGAGCAGTCTAACAGCTCTAGAACAACTTCCGGCTCTAAAATGGGCCATTTCTTCAGTAACATGTACATCTACAAATGAAAGATGTTTACATTAACTGTAAAAATTAGAATATTGACAGAAATCAGCAATTATAATACAGTTGGAAAGGAACTTAAATAAGTATAGCAAATACTCATACAGTGTATTTGTACTACATATTTACTAGATAAAATATGGTGCTGATTATATCTAATACATGTATATAGAGCAGAAAGCACATGTATGTGTATATTGTGAACAAAACAATGGTGACTTGTCACTATATCAGAATGAAAATGTGATATTCTACAATGTTTCAAATTAACTATTGCATTAATAGACTTTTCTATCTTTACTGGATGCTGTCAGAATTTCTATGCAGAAGTATAAACATTATTTGGATTTTTCATGTAAAACTAAAATATACATGTATGTAACTTCAATTTTCTAATTCAGACAAGAACTTCTGATACATTTACAAGAAGACACAGCTGACTTTGAAGTTGGTATTTTACAGAAAATCTTACTTGAGCCACATTTTCACGATCATTCCATCTCATAGCTTGAAGGAGTTTTGGCAGAGAATGGGGGAGAGTCAAGCAGAACTCCCTGAAAAGTGAGATACTCAATTAATAAAAATAATTTCATAGGTATCAGTGACGGATGATTCCATATATGAATAAACAATTTTGAAAATGAATCAACTTGTTTTAAAAAGCAGATTTTTAAAAGTGGATTCATGCACACCTTTGCCTCCACAGTATCTCTTTTTCCTGGTAAGAGATTTCAGCCAATGGATCACGTAACACAACTTCTCTAATTGTTTCCTCATCCCTCTGTCTGCTTATAGGAGTCTCCTGTTTTCAATAATAATAATACAATAAAAACATACAAAGATATTCAAAGAATACAATGTCAGCTTATCATACCATTCTTCATCGTATACGGTGAAACCTCATTATCTCTAACTCTCTAAGGTTAAAGTACATAAAGGAAAAAGTTGTAGAGACTTCCAACTCACTTTGACATATCCCCAGGTATTTGAGATACTGATGTTTGAGAAACTAAGTTGAACTGTATATGGATGGTTATATATACAATATTCCATTATTTACATATCTCCAATAAGAACTGGGTGTTGTTTTTTGATTTTCTCTATGATACAAACCAGTAAATGAGTTCTTCGTTCACTAGTTGTCAGAAAGTGAGCCAATTCTTCGAACTCGTATTCTTGAGGGTGCACCACAGGAAAGGCAAACCTATCAAATTCTATCTCAAGACAGGCTGTCTCTTTTTCATCAGGGTTTGATCCTAAAGTTTAAAATCACAATCTTATTAGAAGATGTATGAACTACTTAAATTGTTGAATGTACATCATCATCACCCTAAGTGATCAAATATCATTACAAAAACATTTTAAGCAAGCTTTACACAACTAAATTAAACGAATAAAGACATCCAAAAAACTTTTGGAAATGCACTTAAAAAACACTTGCTCATATTTGTGAATTTGATAATTTTTCAATCAAAAGTTACCTGGAATACCAATGGGATTCAGAAGTTCATCCATTCCCTGGGGCATAGGCCACAGATTTAGACTAACTTTTTCATTTAGAAGTCTGTCATTGAAATCAAACAGCTGTAGATTTCCCCAAGCTAAGGCAAAGGTCACCTAAAATGTCAATACCATTATTACTAGAAGTGTTTACTTTTGAATTTACTTCAACAACAAAAAGAAAAGTTCAATTTTTTAAAAAATCATTTACATAATTATGCATGTGTCTTGTCTTAACATCAATAGCTAATAAATATTCATGACTGCATTAATGTATATAGACAAATACTAAGAATTCACCAGATAAGAAAACTAGAGAGGAGATATACCTTTCTGTTCCTCCTTCTGTTGACAGAACAGATGGACATACAGAGTCGGGCACTGCGGGGAATATCAGTCATGTTGAGGAATTCCAGCCACTCGTTCCAGCGAGGATTGTTAGACTCCACTTCCTTTGTCACCTGAGCTTCACAAAGAGCCTCAGTACCATGATAAATGCCTGCCTTGACGTATATCTACAATAAAAAGACCTGGGTAAAAATCAAAATTCATCTACAATGTTCCCGAGGTAAATGTGTTACTGATTAAAAAAAAAAAAAATAAAATACCTTTCCTGCCTCTCTCACGTTGACATAAGTCGCACAGTTTATTTTGATCCTGATTGCAGCATTAATTTCCCAGAGAGATATGGTTGGCTGATTATTTATATCTAACAGTAACTGATGACCTGCATAAACCAAACAATAAAGACTCATAACAAACATGACAGGAACTTTATTTTTTCTTTACACAATAATACTCTGAATTAAAAAATTTAAAAGTTTTTCAAAGCATGGAATTTATTTTTAAAAAATTATCCAGTAAAAACACTCAAAACGAAGTGCCAGGGATGGACAATTTTCGTTCATTATGTTATTCATTAAATCTGTTAAGTTCATATTTTAAAATCACTATATTGTAAGCATAAATTCATTTATATTTTTTAAGCATTTTTGCTATAAGCATGTTTTACTGTCTATGTCTAATATTCTGTCAAATATGTATTTCACAGTTTGTGGTTGAATACGATTTTTATTCAATGAAAGCTGTGTGTTTTCTATCCTCAGCCTTGGCAATGGGATAGGAAACAAACAATGAGGTGGATAAAAACGATATCTAACTATAAACCATGGGAAATGCATGCACCTATTACATATTTTACAGTTTTAATATATGAATTCACTTTGTTTTACTTCATAACAAAAGTCATTGTGACCTCACAACTGAAGGATATGCAAATTTTATAAAAATATGTGATATTAAAATAATAAAGGAATAAATGTGATAAATATCAAATAGTTAGAGTTATCTTCACAAGATTAATGCCTTCCAAAGGGCAAAATCAAAGAATTTACTTCATCAAGTATCCACAGATGCATCTTATATGCAAGTTTGGTTTGGATACCAGCTGAGATATTCCAGGAAGTGATCTAAATTGCAAAGTTTAACTTTCTTTCTACATAGCAGACAGATAAATGGACTCCCCCCACCCCCCCATTTTTACAACTGTGTTATGGGGGTATGAAGATTTTTACCTCTTTGTGCATAAGATGGCATTTGATATGTAAACTCTGGAAGTGTTGCATAAATCCCATCTTTGGTCAATAACATGAACTGTGGTATCTTCTCTGTAGCAATACATTCTCTAACATACTGTGAAAAGAAAACACCAGAATAAGCCAGTCTTAAAGCAAGGACTTATTAAATGCGGGCTTACATGAAAAGCAGTTTTCTTTAGTCTACAGAAAGCTTATCTGCAATACTAGTGTACATGATGTACTAGTAGTTAATACCTGAATTCTAATAACTCAGTATTTTTTAATTCAGAGCAACACTGGTACAATCTACCAGAATCAGTTGGTCTATATACTGGTACTTAAGTTTTAAAAATTTTAATAAATAAATGTAACCACAACTTACCCTATATTGACTTATTGGATTCTCTGCCAATAAAAACTCATCACAACCACACACTTTAAGGGCATACGTGCCCTTATAACTTTCTATCAGTCCATCCAGCTGTGATGTAGTGATGTCCATTAGGCGCCCCCTTCGCCGTATGACCTCTGAAATAACATCAATGGGTCGAGCTGTGTGTCCCACACTGACACTAAATTTATTTCTATTGCCATCGTCTGATACTATCCATATACAGCAAACAACATGCCCTTCTGAAAAAAAAAATTGTGAAACTCAGTAATATAAATTCATACATCAAAATGAACCTGAAATGAACCTGAATTTATGAAATTTTACGATATTTTTTTTTAACTCTTGAAATGCATTAGTTCCTTAATCAAATTTCCTTCCCTTCATTTACGTTTGGAAGAGGTAAATATCTCTTTTGAATTGTGTGTCATAAAATTATAACATTTTTTTTACCTTTTTTCTTTAATTTCTTTTTGAGATGTGGAGGTAGTTCTGGTGAGGATTCAAGGTCGGGGGGATATGCACATAACGCAGCACTTTGTTTACTATTAATCTGTCTCTGTTCTAGAGCCTCGCGACAAACATCTAGGGCTGTCCGTCTAAATGTCATCACTTCAAGATCTTTCATGTTATCAAAATCACTGGTCGGTATTCCAATTGTCATACCTAATTGGATTTTCAAAAATAATTCATTGTAAATGTAAAATAGTTGTCAATAATTTTTTTTCAAATTATTGATACATCTTTTGTGGTATGATTTTCATAATGGATATTTTTAAGTTTTTTGTAGTTGACTTGGAAAATGAAATGGGATTAATATCTATCAAACTTAAATCATAAATCAATATCAAAAGTAATTCAAACTTATAGTGAGTAGCTTAAGTTCTTCAAAAGGAAAAACCACACATTAAAATACATATCTGATTTAATAAACACACCTATTTCATAATTAATTATCTTTTCTTCTCTGTTCCCAATTGGTTCAACAACTTTGAGTACAGGCATAAACAGTCTAAGATCACACAGTCTTCTAGTTTCATCATAGAATTCCTCACTCTCTGCATCTTGTGTAATGCTCACAAAAATATATGACCCCTGGTCCCCAAGTTTATGAAAGAGGGGGTAATTTTTAGCTTCTATCCATAACTGAGCTTTAATCCTTTCTAATGTTTCATCTCGGTTCACCATCAACTGTAAGCAACCAAAATATCAAGTTTTATTACTTTACATTCAATATACTACTTACTAAATTTGTACTGGTAAATGTTTTTTAATCAAAGTGGTGTACTTGGATTAAGTACCAAAAAGTTTTGGCACAGGTAATATAAAAAATTCCTGTAACTTCTGGTGGAAAAAGTTACAATCAAGGTTAAAATTTTTAGAATGTAGGTCAAAAATCAAGGTCAGGGGGTCAAAAATCATAACACATTTAAAAGGCCTTGTCGTAGGTAATACACGTGAAATATTACAGCCCTATCTTCTTTCATAGAAAAGATACATGTTTTACACAAGTTAAATTTTTTTTGAAGTAAATCAAGCTTCAGAGTCAAGGTTGTGAGGTTAAAAATCATAGTACACTCAAAAAGTTCTTGTCACAGTCTGACAGATAGGAAAACCCTTTCTACTTTTATAGAACAGATATAACAAAAGTCAAAATGAAAAGGTAAGTCAAACTTCAAGGTCATGAGGTCAAAAATCATAGTGTACTTGAAAAGGTCTTGTCACAGGTAATACACATATGAAATATGAAAACCTTATCTTTTCTCATTCAAAAATCATTACCTAATTAAGTCAAAATTTTTATAACGTAGGTCAAACTACAAGATCAAGGTCATGATCGAGGTCTAAAACCCTAAAATATTCTGAAAGGTTTTGTCACAAGTAATGCATTTGTGAAACATGAAAAACCTGTCTTTTCTCATTCGAAAATTATGACCAAGGTTAAAGTTTTTGTGACAGACTGACTGAAAGACGAACAAATGAGATTTAAAATGTCCAACCCTTTCGCAAAATCGAGGGACAATAATACCTGTAAAACATGGATAAAGAGTATTTATTTTGAATATTGATGTACCGGTAAATAAAAGAATCAAGTTATATATACCTGTATTAATACCCCTGTTGGCATAAGACAATCCACCTTCACCTGCGAGGGCATCAGGTGGTGGCCCCATAGCTCCCCTGAACTAGGTGGCATTATTCTGCAAAAATGATGCATTTTTTAGATTTTAATCCTTTAGCAAGAAATGTAAATGTCATTATTCCGTACAGTATAATTTTCTTTATACTAGAAATCTCTGACAGACATAAGCTTTGGCAATAATGATTTGAAAGGATTCACTGTTATTCTTATTTTTAGTAACCATTTTACCACTGTTCATCAGAATAAAAACCCAATGTACCCGGTACAGAATTATATACATTGTACATATATTTTAGTAAAGTCTAATTGTGGACCAAGTTTTATTGAAACTGAACTAAACCGAACAAGGAGGAATATAATTTTGAAGGACTATTTTATGGAATTTTTTATCTTTATTAATCATTGCAATATATCTTTTGTCAAAATCAAAATATGATATAGAGTATTATATTAATGTAGTCTGCTTGAGTACCAAGTTCTATTGAAATCAGACCAAAACTTAAGAAGGAATAGCATTTTGAAAAATATTTGTTTGCAGACAGACAGACTATGTATATGCATACAAATGCACAAGCTCTTCTAGTATCTGACTGGTAGAGCTAAAAAAAAAATGCCTTATCGCCTTAATGGTCACCTGATCTACTGAATGACAATTTTGATAATTGATATAATAAAGTGAACTAAATTGATAGAGGAAGATATGTTGCTCACAAACAAGAGAAATAGAGCAATCATGATCAAAAATTTATGATTGACACACAATGATCAGTGTTTCCCCTATAAAGAACCACTTCAAATAATATAATGCTGCTTAGATATCAAAATTTAAAACATAACTGTTATAAGGTCCACAGAGATTTTATTTATGAACCTCAACCCCTAGCTTGTTACAACTGATCTCAAACCCTTTACTTTGAAATAAAGGGAAAACACATACGGAATGACAGACAAAAACAATATAGAAATTAAGGTCACCTGAGTGACTCAGATGATCTTAAAATATAGACATAACCTAAATGGTAAAAGGAAAATGTTTTCAGAATGGCACTTAAAAACTGAAATGAAAAAGAAAAGTAATGGAGATGACTTCTGCTCATCATTCCCCATTAATATCTGCTTGACAGAATGAAATACATATCAAGAAATATTTTAAACTTATATATATAAATTAATGGCAATAATTTTAGTGAAGGGTTTCTTTAATGTATTATTAAATCGATGAAAACTTTTTTAAAAAAAAACTTGGTCATTTACATTTGTGATGACTTAATTGGTAAAAAAAAAACTTAGTGGGAGAATCTCCCTAATTCTACATCAGGAGATTTATCGAACTAAAATTGTTAATTCAAGTGTTTAATAACTATATTGACTAAAAGCTTGCAATTTCAAATTCTTTCCTTTGAAGTAATCCAATTCATAAACAATTATCTAACAGAAAAATACATTGTACATGTAATACTTTTCTGATCTTATACGCAGGTGATCTGATCTAATATGCAGGTGTAGAAAATTCATACATTCCTGACAAACTGGTATTGAATCTTGCAAAAATGTCATGCAATATTCATCTTTGTAAACCTAGATCAAAATATCCTCTCCAATTTTTGTTTAAAATTCAAAAAATAATACACACAAAAGTATTCTATTACAAAGTGTCAGGGCAAATTGACTTCAAATATCTGCAAAATGAAACTTGTTTGTATATTCATGTTCACCATTAAATACTGTGTACCTGAGTCATTGAAAAAACAATAATTGATCTTAATCTACAAAATAGAACCTAAAGTCAACTAGAAGAAAAAGAATTAGTTGGTTTTTAAAGATTAAACATTCCTTAAGACTTTTTCATACATACCAAATGGTGTCAAGCAAATCCTTTATTAATAAATATTTTATTTATACTGCAGCTAGATAAATTCCCAGAGAGATTAGTTTAAGGTAAAACTATCAATTATTTGTTCAGTAAACAAAAAAACTGATGGACATTGAACAATTCACTGCACCGGAAAAAGAACCGTCTTACACCAGTCTCTACAGGTGTTATTTAAAGTTTAGAAAACCAAACAAACAAAAAATGACTGCTTACATGTCATCACTCTAAGCCATTTTGTGGTTAGTCCCACAAAGTTCATTCGGTATTTTCAGCAGATTGCTATGCATACTAAGAGGTTTGAAACTTACAAAGTACCATAATATGTATAGATGACACATGGATCTTTCACTAGTTGTCAAAAACAAACATTTCAATCATTTAGACACAGGAAGTATATAGAATCCTTGACAGAAACAAACATGTCTATGACATGGCACATGTCTGGGGCAGGCATGATGTTGGCATAATGATTACAATCAATAATCAACAGACAATTTTTTTCCTTTAATGCTTAAACTTTCACTTTCATTATAATCCATTCCTTATTAAGATTACTTGAAATAAAGGTAATCTGTATACATGACCCTCTGACAAAACAAAATTAGAAACTTAAAGTAGATCTTTTTTTAACAAAAACTATACTCAGAAAAAAAGTGCTCCCCCCCCCCCCCCCCCCCCCCAGCGTTCTACGGGCCTGCTAATAATTGATATAATCAAAAAACCTCAACCTACACTCCAATTATTACACAGTGACTGAGATATATACAATCAAAACAAACAGTACCTTGAGCACCGAACTTCTTACAGGTAAATTGCAGGTAAATTCTTAGAAGGTTATTCTCAGATGTGGCTGTCCTTCGATTAACAAAGGAGAAATATTGAATTTTTGATAACATCTTCATTGCTTCACCAAATGTTGGTCTGTTTACAAATTCAGGCTGATATCTGTGGACATATTTGAGGAAAGAAGACTTGTAAACAACATTGTTTTGCTCTCATTTGAAATCAACCATCCCTTCGGTCTCCCTGAGGTTTGAATAATTGCATCACCGTGGGTGTGGGCTGCCATTTGTGTTTAATAGGGACAGTATCCACCCATACACTATGGAAACTCTAATACTCAAATATGTTTTATCACTTCATTATGTTTTACCACTTAATTAATCTATAAAATCTTTTTATCTAGGGATGATTAAATTACTCACTCTAAAAAAATATTTTTCAATGCCATACAAAACATATTACTATACAAAATGTACCATTAAAAGATTTTCCTGCTTTTATTATTAGAACTTTACGAATATATACTAGAACTTTAAATTTTTAATTAAAATTGTAAATTTTATGTGACTGCCAGCATGTCTGCATTAATGCAGGTATCTATAAATTTAATGATTACATTACTTTGATTTCCATTAATCTATTAAACCCCATTTCTTAGGAGGTAAAGCATGTTATTGGAATAATGATTTTATCATGCACAGCTTGTCAACCTGAGAAAAAACAGGTCTGGTACAGTAAACACGTACACAAACAACATGATTGAAACATCCGTGTTATTTTTTAAGACTTGTTTTCTCAAATGGCTGTAGATGCAAATGAGATTTGGCAAATTTTTATTTTTTGGATGAAAATAAATAGATCTGCTGCCAAAATAAAATAATAAATAACAATGACTAGTCAAATCCGCATCTTGATTACTGTGACTACAAGTTCTATAAATATATGAATTATGAATACAATATTTTCATGCATATACATATATGTATTATGTGGTTTCTAACAGATGAGCTTAATAAATGTATCCTTATTTTTAAACTTTTTGATTTATTGCACTTCACTTTGACATATGGCTACAAAAGGAATTTCCATTCATAAAACATTTATAAAAAAAAGTTTTTCTAATATGATTCTTCCTCCTTCCATGGGTACCACCATACCTGTACATTCTTTGTAGCTACCTATCAGTCTTTTTTTTTCTCTATACATACATAATTTTTAATGGTCATATTACACACAAAGTCTTCTCAGTACACACCTGGTGTACACCTAGATGTCTCCAATGTTTCAATTAAAAATAAAGTGTTTCTGTGTAATTATCATTAATAATACCCTCATGGTATATTTGAGGAAAACAAGCTCAACTGAAAATAGAAAATGTAAAGTTATAACATATAGGGTCATTATTCTCCTAGACATCAAAGTTAGTTGAAAGGCCATCATCAAGAAATGTCTGTATATAATGTACAAGTACATGTATATAGTTATATACAGGTATCATTCAACATATTTTACACTTTGAGCAGACAAAAAATGCAGAAGAGAATGCTGAAATTCACACAAGAGCTTGAAAAGCTCTCAACTAAATGTCTACTTAGATTAAATTTTTGGAAATTTTTCTCTTTATTGTAGTTTTATTGGCATAGCAGCTACAGCTTTATTTATATTAAATAACTTTACATGTGTAGGATATGGACATACGGACAACTTATATGACTGGACTATATATAATTCTTTGAACTAATTTTAAGTTTATTAATCATTATACTATGCAAAAATATCCCCCTTTTTTAATTTAATCATATGAACCAAAAAAAAAAAGATGTTGAAGGTATAAATAATTCATTTCATTATATGTGATTTCTAAAAAATATTTCTCTTTCAATATCATTTTCAGACAAGAGGCTTAAGGGCCTTAACGGTGACCTGAGTGTAATACAACCTTGAGCACAGAAGATTTTTATGCCCCCAGATCGAAAGATCCCGGGGGTATATATTTTTTTCTGTCTATCTGTTTGTCTGTTTGTCCGTTTGTCTGTCTGTCTGTTGTCAACTTTAACCTTGCCCATAACTTTTGATTGGTTGGAGCTATGACTTTCATATTTCCCATGTGTATTCATTGTGACAAGACCTTTCTTTGGGTACCATCATATTTGACCTTTTGACCTTGACCTTGGAGTTTGACCTACTTTTGCAAAATTTTATGAGACTTTAACCTTAGCCATAACTTCTGAACAGTTGGTGCTTGGGGTTTCAAACTTCACATGTGTATTCTTTGTGACAAGACCTTCCTTTGGATACCAACAACTTTGACCTTTTGACCTTGGAGTTTGACCTACTTTTGAAAAACTTTAACCTTGGCCATAACTTTTGAACAGTTGGTGCTTAGGGTTTCAAACTTTACATGTGTATTCCTTGTGACAAGACCTTTCTCTGGATATCAACCACTTTGACCATTTGACCTTGACCTAGGAGTTTGACCTACTTTTGAAAAACTTTAACCTTGGCCATAACTTTTGAATGGTTGGAGCTGGGCTTTCATACTTCACATATGTAATCCTTGCGACAAGACCTTCCTTTGGATACCAACCACCACTTTGACCTTTTGACCTTGACCTAGGAGTTTGACCTACTTTTGAAAAACTTTAACCTTGGCCATAACTTTTGAATGGTTGATGCTAGGGCTTTCATACTTCACATATGTAATCCTTGTGACAAGACCTTCCTTTGGATACCAACCTATTTGACCCTTTGACCTTGACCTAGGAGTTTGACCTACTTTTGAAAAACTTTAACCTTGGCCATAACTTTTGAATGGTTGGTGCTAGGGCTTTCATACTTCACATATGTAATCCTTGTGACAAGATCTTCCTTTGGATACAAACCACTTTGACCTTGACCTTGACGTTTGACTTTTATTCAAAAAACTTTAACCTTCGCCATAACTTCTGAACAGTTGTATCTAGGTCTTTCAAATTTCATAGGTGTATTCCTCGAGACAAGACCTTTCTTTGGGTATCAACATTTCTTATCTTTTGGCCTGGATTTTGACTTGCATTTGAAGAAACTTTAACCTTCGCCATAAGCTGCCATACGGGGGCATCAGTGTTTCACAAACACATCTTGTTTCACTATGTAATCAATAGCTCTGCCCTAACACCATAACCCATGACCAAGGGACTAGAAATTTCACAATTTTGGTAGAGACATCCTTGCTCATCATAATTATGCTAAATATGCAGGAGCAGAGAAGAAGATTTTCCAAGAAATAATGCATTTTCAATATACATTTGTATAATGAATAGAGCCCTGCGCTTACACAAAAAGCCCTGACCCATGCCATGAATTTCACAAATTTTGAAGGGGCATCCTTGCTCATAATTATGCAATTAATTTGTCTGCTAAATTTTATATATGTGGGGAGAGAAGATGATAGAATTTATGCATTTTCACTTTACAATCAATACAATTCTAAACACCAGAACCCGTAACCCAGGGGCAATGAATTTCACAATTCTGGAAGAGACCCCATTGCTCATCATATTAAACCATGGACTTCATATTTTACTTGCTTATTACACAGGAGCAGAGAAGATTTTCAAAAGAATTAATACATTTTTACTATTATAATAAATGGACTACATTTGGACAACAGAACCCCTGGCCCAGGGCCATGAATTTCACCATTTTGAAAGAGGCATACTTGCTCATTTTAACCATGCACTCAATTTGTCTGCTGAATATACAGGGGGAGAGAAGATTTTCAAGCCCCCCTTTCAGCTCCAGAACCCCTCATCCCTGACACAGAGGCCATGAATTACACAATTTTGGTAGAGGGTTGAATGCTTATTACAATCATGCCAACAGTTTGAGTGCTTGACGACCAGGAGTAAAGAAGATTTTTAAAGATAATTGATTAAATTAATTTATACGGTTTTAGCCCCATCCCCTCAGGCCCCAAAGGAGCGGGGACCATGAAATTAAAAAATTTTGTTCCCTATCACCCATAGATGCTATATCCCAAAAACAGTTAAAATTGGTTCAGAGAAGATGCTAAAAATGTTCAAACGTTAATACATGACGACGGACGAAAACAGGTAATAGATCACTTCAGTCACTGGTGACCTAAAAAATGAATTTAGCAGCTAGGAAATAGACACACCTAGTCAATACAGCATAGTACATACCTTTCACATGTCATTCTGTCATGCAGGTACATTTATATTTCATACCTTCAATATTCCATTAAAAACATTATTACATGTATTATACTTTAAAGCACTTTTTGGTAATATGAGATATCTGATCTAATGCACCATTGTTTGAAACAGGACGTTGTAAAACATCCTGAAATTTGTGGGGGAAAACACACTGTTAAAATAGCTGGAAATCTATTGTGTACTTTAAAAAGTCAAATTACAAAAGAAAATAATTATCTATTTAAAAACTGAATTCAAAAGTGTACAAATAAAGAAATGTAAATAGATAAGGAAATTTAGAATAGACATGCTACTCCATCACTATTTATAATTACAGAACTACTTGAGAGAAAAATTGTCTGAAAAGCCAGAGTTTATGGTACCTTTCCATTATCCTTGTTTTTCAACTTTTGAAGGAACATGAGGAAGTATATCCATTTGAACTCCATAAATTACAGAATATCTCTTGAATGATTATATTTAAATTTATTATGTAAGCTATTCTCAGCATTCTGTCATTCAAAATGCCTTTTGTTAATTGCAATCTGTCAACAGTACTTTTCTGCATAATGCAGATCATTTTTTTTCAAAGTTTAATTCACAAAAGTAAATTAATCAACATCTAAGGCATCTGAAGTACGAGAGCTTAAATTCCTTATGGAAAGTTATACTAATAAATTGTATCACTGTTTTGTAAACTTCATGTACATGTATCCTATAAAAACTGAATTGATAATGTTAATTGTATAAATTTTACATCAGTTTCTTTCACATAAGGTGCAGTATTATTCAGTGTTACAAGGTGATAAGGTACGACAGCTTGAGGCCACAGTCTAACCAACACCTGGTTTGTTGGTACATTGTCAACAGAAACATCTAGCTAATAACAACTAATAAACAAATTGTATAATGCAGGAGTCATTCTCACTTGTTTACCTATGAGGGTTGACTATAATATACTAAACATATATCATCCTCTTTAATAATTGAGATAAGATGATTGACAAATGAGAGAAACAGGAATGCTGCATATGTCAAGCCTTTACAAGTAATTTTTTGTTGGTTTAATACTACAGTTATCCTCATGAGCTTCAATTCAGTGCCAACATCTTTCATTTTTTAATCTGAAAACAAAAACTTTACTATCCATTTCCTAAGATTAATACGTCTTCCTTTAACATGTTTAAGTAAAATGTTTGATATCCTTACTTGAGAGTTAATGCCTTAGTCTAAACCTTTAGTGCCATTTTCAACAGAGAAGACAGGGCATGCAAAGAAATGTCAGAAATCTGGTGAATCAGAATGACCTGAGCTGACATAATTTTTTTTTTATTTTACAGCATATATTTCAGTGTCTGAAGAATGCCTGACTATGCTGGTAAATCTTCTACAATTATTAGTGTCAAAGATGGAAGAAATTACAACCAGATCAGGATTCAAACCTGGAGAACTACAACCCTTGTCTCTAATCTTCAAAAAAAAAAAAAAAAACCCAGGTTTCTTCCTGGCAGGTTTTTGTCTGTAAATTTCAGTGCATGGCAAAGCTCACAGTAGGGCTTTCACGGTTCCAAAATTTTTCAGGTCGGGTCAGTTCTGTAAATTTTCAGTTCGGTTTCGGGTTTTTTCGGTTCTGTTATTAATACCTCTATTTAGAACCTTAATTTCATGAATCTAACATAAAAAAAATCTTTATTTGTTACGTTACATTCACCTTGAAAACAAATCTTATCCATGTTAACATCTTGACATCGGTTTTTAGGACTACTAGGCCGACTACTGGCTACAACATGGCCATTTTTGCTTGTTTTGATATATATCTAATCCTTTCGTGACAAGTGTTTTGTCATGGAATGAAGTATAATCCAGTTGCGATGTTTATTTATCACTGTTATCATCATCATTCTTTTGATTTCGACGCCATTTTTGTATAAAACATACTCTAATATATAAACCAGATCCGAACCGAAATCCTGAAAAAATGGAACCGAAACCGAATGACTTGTACCGCAGTTTTAGGTTATTTCGAGGAACCGTGACAGCCCTAGCTCACAGTATACAAAACTTGTGATGGAACAGTTCTTGCCATTAAGACCAAAATCTAGCTTTATTACAATATATTTAAAACTATTATTTTAACTTGTTTAAAGTCAATATCGTATATCTTGAATCACTAAAATTTTACAAAAGCATTATTCAAGAAGTTTTCAAGTGGACATGATCTTAATACTGAGATTTTTGGTTTTGATCAAAATTCTTTTGCAAATTGGTCTAAAATTAAACTCTGGTCCCTTAACTCGACAGCAGGTCTATCAATATCGAGATCAGCTTATGATGCATAAAGATACATGCCTGACCCACAACCAAACATGCCCCCAACAGTTTATTCAACCTGGAAGAAATAATTGCTGGAAGAGTTGCATCAATTATGATCTAGGGCATATGCACTTCATTTTAATACTATGTGCATGTATGAATTTTCAAGTTGTGTCCCGTGGCCACCATCTTGGGAGAAAACCCAGAGAATCCTCACAGTAGCTTTGTAGCTTACTGTTTTGTAAATTTGTCATAGGACAGGAAAAAAAACGCAGTGGATTTATCACAGCAGGCCCAAATGTTTGGTAGCATGAAGAAGAAAAATATTGTCTCTTTCCATTTTACTTTTTGGTTGACTCCGCAAAGGGACACAACTTTTGCAGAGTGTTTATTGGACTATGGGAGTGCCATACAGTAAAATTATATTCAAATGCTAGTTGTTGAATAACTTTCCATATATAAAAAGAACCATTCTGTTTATAAAATGTGCCTCTGAACTTTTCAATGTCCGAAAATTTACGAATAAATATCATGTGTTCTGTTACGTAGGTGTGAATTTGTGACCATGTGGTAAAAAAGAATAACTGATACAGACACTGTATATCAGAAAACTTAAACAAAAAATAAGAATTGAATTATGACAGAAGGTCTCCTTGACTAAAATTCTTAACAAATCATAACAAACAAACCTAAAACTTACCCTCTATATTGATATACCCCAGAAAATCATGTGGGACAAATGACAAAAACAACTTGTTTATCTTCTAACTTCTCTAAAAATCTGTTCATCCCACCGGAAGTGTGAACACTAAATGTAGAATCTACTCGGACTACTGAATCGGAAACAATTCTTACGTATTTTAAAATAAATTATTCAAATTCTAAAAGCTAAAAAAAAATATGATATAGGGTCATAACTTGATGCAATAAATAATTGGACAAAAAGTGTACACATATATTTCATTTGATTTTTTTTCCCTTTGCAATTGATGAAAGTCTATTTAGTGGTACGATATAATGTGCTTCGTATATTAGCACAACCATTTCTTTTGCCGATTTGCAGCGGAGAGGCTTTTCCCAAAATTGTTTGCAGTTACAAACACGTAAATATTGTCAATGAACGTTTAGCATTCCTCCTTTTAATCAGGATGTTTTAAAAATACGAATTATATGATCGATAAATTGTTGACATGATTGAGACAAAAACAATGTGTCTCAATTCGAATTGACTCAGTTTTTTTCTCTCCTGAAAACTGTCATAATATTATAATGGTCACTTATTACACATTTAAAAAATTGGCTTTTATTAAGGTTTGTTTTAAAGTGAGACCTTAAGGATACGTGTAGCACCCTCAAATGTTTTGTTGAGCTGACATTTTTTAGTGTTTGCTTAATCTTCAAAGAAAGAGTATATGTACAGTAATAATCTGATAATATCAGGTCCAGTACAATATCTTGATTTAGCTATATAGCTAGAAATAGCTATATAGCTTTAATAGCTTGATAAAGCTATTTATTTGCAATTTTTCACAAAAATGTTTTTGAAAGTGTAGTGATTTGGGGCGTGGATATCGGCCTGGGTAGCTCAGTCGGTAGAGCACCTGACCAGTGATGCAGGGGTCCCGGGTTCGATTCCCGGTCCAGCCATACATTTTTTCCTTTCCTGTTACAGTAAGAAATAGACAAAAAGTCGCAAGTATTTGACTTAATCTCTATTGAGATTCTGCTGGGCTAGATATTTGGACTGACGCCCACAGAATCTCTAGACAACCACTCATAATTCATGTCTGGAAATCAAGCCCCAACTTCGGCCGACTATAGCAAGAATTATTCATCTAGACCACACTGCCGTTCGCTTCAATTAAGTCATTTGGTTGATTATTTGACTCTCTGTCACTATCATTTCCAAATTGCTTACCGTTTAGGCATGTAAATCCCAACTTAAAAATATTCACTGAAATCTCCGTTCGAAATATGGCTCCTTTGACGAAATTGTTTACCTCCTCACATAAAAGAGTTCCTATAGTTTGTTTTTACCCTATGTGATTATGAACTAATGTCTACTATGGCTATTGAACATCACATAAAAGAAAACGGACTATAGGAACTCTTTTATGCGAGGAGGTAAACAATTTCGTCAAAGGAGCCATATTTTGAACGGAGATTTCAGTGAATATTTTTATGTTGGGATTTACATGCCTAAACGGTAAGCAATGTGGAAATAAAAGTGACAGAGAGTCAAATAAACAACCAAATGACTTAATTGAAGCGAACGGCAGTGTGGTCTAGATGAATAATTCTTGCTATAGTCGGCCGAAGTTGGGGCTTGATTTCCAGACATGAATTATGAGTGGTTGTCTAGAGATTCTGTGGGCGTCAGTCCAAATATCTAGCCCAGCAGAATCTCAATAGAGATTAGTATTTGACTATTCATGTATGTACTATGATCGAGCTATCAAAAAGCAACCCAAATCAAAGAGAGTTTTAACATTGCAGCCTTTGAATACTTTTAAGCAAAAGATGTATTTCCATTGTTTGGATAACTGTACACCACCTTGTGTGCTTTGAGACATGGATAAGTATGATTGCTTCACATTGTGCTGAATTATTACCAATCAATTAACTTATTGACCATAATTGACTCCTTTATAATTTCATTCAAGAAGTAACTGTGTGATCACATATCAGTTGCTTTATATAACCCCAAAACTTATAAACTTTGAGTACAAAGTCTCTCAAGGAAGCGCATTTGATGAGGAATTTTTACATACATTGTTTTCATAACAGTTTAAGGTTGAACACTGCACCTAGGTGTGACTCTTTGTATATTTCTGAAAAAATAACACAATTATATATATAAGAAAAAAGTGAGAAGCTAAATAAAGTTATTCTGAATAGCTTGATATTTAAAGCTCTATAGCTTATTCAAGCTATATATCTAAAACAAGAGATTGTACTGGGCCTGAATACATCTGTACTTATTACATACTTTGATATATTTCTCAATAAATAATATAGAGAGAGCCAGGTCTTTTATAGATCGAGCCATATCAGCCCCTGCATGCATTGTAATGCTCAGGGACTACTTCTGTGTTTGCAATTGTGACGTTTCAATGTATTTTCCCATTGCTCCATCCTTTATGACATCACAATTACTTGATTGTACATTTGACAACACAAATATCCATTACTAAAGTTGTAAGGATGTTTATGACCAGAATTGCAGAGAAAATCTAGTCATGTGAGTTAAGAAAAAAGTATAAATTTGCATTAAAATATGTGATAAGAAGTCACTGACTGAAAATCAGGAAATATGCCTGCCCTGGGTTTTGCTTGGTGCACTTTACCATGCAAAGACCTCAGGCAGGCATATTTCCAAATATAAATATCATATGTTTGTACTTCATTGGTCACATTCACACAAAGTTGTGTTATGAAATGGAATAAAACATGAAATTAATGCCCAAATGACACTTTACTAAAAAAAAAAAAAATAATGATTGCGTGCATGTAAATATTTGGGACGTAGACAAATTTTATAATTTTTACCTCTTAAAAAGTATCGTGACCCATTTCTATGTAATACATGCATCACCTTTAAAGGTATGATTTATTTACATAGGAAAAAATAGTGTGTTTTTCAAACATTTTATGACCAATTAAAACAGTTACACTTATGTAGGCCAAATGTATAGTACCATTTGCTTTTTGTCTTTTTATTTTTAGCTCTTCTGAGCCAAAGGCTCAAAGAGCTAATGCTATGGCCATTTGTGCGGTGTGCGGTGTGCGTAAACTTTTTAGAATATGGGCCATAACTCAAGAACCCCTTGGCCAATTATTGTCAAATTTGTCACAGGGTATCCTTGGCCCAAGGGCTCCCTTTTATACTAAAACTGGGGTTGTGACCCTTTAACAAGGGGAGATAATTAGGAAAATAGAAACAAAAGTACTGGTTGCTAAAAAATCTTCTTCTCAAGAACCACTGGGCAGATTATCACCAAACTTACACAAAAGGATGAGGATATGTTGTAGATTAAAATTTGCACGGGGATTTACCCTGGGGCAAAGGGCGTGGTCTCAAGGTCACTTCAAAGTTGACCAAAAATTACATTTTATTAAAATGTTGATATTTTGCTTACTATAAGGACTAGGATCATCAAATCTTGTCAGTTGGTGCATCTAAGGACCTCATATCATGTTGACTCAAAAGTAGGTCACGGTGACCTACTTTTTAAATTTTGCGGCCATTCTTTTTCAAAATGATTTAGAGGTATATTTTGAGCAATTTAAGGCCTATGATCATCAAACTTTGTCAGTTGATGCATCTTGGGTCCTCAAAGTACGTCGACTAAAAAGTAGGTCACCTTGACCTACTTTTTGAATTTTATGGCTAATCATTTTTAAAACAATTAAGGTCATTAATTCGAATACGGGGAGGCTTAGAATCATTAAATCTTGTAAGATGATGCATCTTGGGGCCATAAAACATATTTATTAAAAAGTAGGTCACAGTGACCTACTTTTTGAACTTTGCAGGCATTCAATTTCAAAGCGTTTTAGAGGCATAATTTGGACATTTTAAGTCCTATGATCATAAAACTTTGTAAGTTGATGCATCTTGGGTCTTCAAAAAAGGTCAACTGAAAAGTAGGTCACCGTGACCTACTTTTCAATTTCTATGACTATAATTAAATATTTCAGGTACTAATTGGCTTAGAATCATTAAACTTTGTCAGTTGATGCATCTTGGGTCTTCGGAGTAGGTCGACTAAAAAGTAGGTCACAGTGACCTAATTTTGTAATTTATGGCGTTAATTTAATATTTCGGGTACTAATTGGCTTAGAATCATCAAACTTTGTCAGTTGATGCATCTTGGGTCTTCAGAGTAGATCGACTAAAAAGTAGGTCACCGTGACCTACTTTTGAAAATTTATGGCTTTAATTAAATATTTCGGGTACTAATTGGCTTAGAATCATCAAACTTTGTCAGTTGATGCATCATGGGTCTTTGGAGTAGGTCGACTAAAAAGTAGGTCACCGTGACCTACTTTTGGAAAATTTATGGCTTTAATAAAATATTTCGGGTACTAATTGGCTTAGAATCATAAAACTTTGTCAGTTTATGCGTCATGGGTCCTCGGAGTACAACAACTGAAAAGTAGGTCACGGTGACCTACTTTTGAAAATTTATGGCTTTAATCAAATATTTCGAGTACTAATTGGCTTAGAATCATTAAACTTTGTCAGCGTCTTGGGTCCTCGGAGTACAACAACTGAAAAGTAGGTCACGGTGACCTACTTTTGAAGTTTTATGGCTGTATTTAATATTTTCAGGAATTATTTGGCTTAGAATCGTCAAAATTTGTCAGTTGATGCATCTTTGGTCCCCGGAGTAGGTTGACTGAAAAGTAGGTCATTGTGACCTCCTTTTGAAAATTTATGGCTGTAATTAAATATTTTGGGTACTTATTGGCTAGAATCATCAAACTTTGTCAGTCGATGTATCTTTGGTCCTCGGAGTACAGCAACTGAAAAGTAGGTCACGGTGACCTACTTTTGAAAATTTATGGCTTTAATTAAATATTACAGGTACTAATTGGCTTAGAATCTTCAAACTTTGTCAGTTGATGCATCTTGGGTCCTTGGAGTAAAACAATTGAAAAGTAGGTCACTTTGACTTACTTATAAAATTTTATGATTATAATTTTAAAAAATACTTTAGGTATTAATTGGCTTAGAATCATCAAACTTAGTTGATGGGTCCTCAGAGAATGACAAGTGATAAGTAGGTCACCATGACCAACTCTCAGGTACTAATTGGCTTAGAATCATCTTGGGTTCTCAGAGTGTGAATTGGAATTTCAAGGGTTCATGTAAATATACAGGATACTTCGAGGCTTCAAATAGAAGTGATAGGTTGTACAGTTTATCAGAAGAGCGATTCAAGGCCCATGGGCCTCTTGTTTATTTTCTTTTGGGTTGAATGGGAGTTAAATTTTAAACCAGGAAAGTAGATGTAATGTAATTTTTAGCTTTATTGTTATTAGGATAAACAAATGATTACATTACATATTTGTTTAAAAAAATACTTATTGTAGTGAACAATGACAACACGTGAAGAATCGCCACCACCCCCACCCCCACCCCCAAAACCTCCTGGGGATAATGCCTCCCAGGCATCAAAGGGGTATCAGTATCAGCAGCAACCAGTCCACTATGGCCAGAGTGAGTATTTCAACTTCTTCGTGAAAAGCATTTCTCACTTTAATTTAATGAAATTAATAATTAGAATTTGTTCCTCAGATTATTTCTTCTTTATATCCTTTTATAAGTATACAATTTACTCAGGTTACTCAACAACTGAAAATTCCTATTATCAACCAATGTCAACATCTGGTAGTACTTCAGCAACCAATGCCATGAGTGGAACAAATTCTCAGTATTTGTATCAACCTAGCAGTGCTAGCTCATATCAAGGTACTAATCACACTACCAGCTATCTTGTAACTGACTCCTCTTTATTATTCCCTACTGTCAGTATTTTAAAAGGGATAACGATTTTTTAGCTCACCTCAACGAAGTTGGGGGAGCTTATGTAATACCCTCGGCGTCGGTATCGGCGTCGGCATCCCAGGTTAAGGTTTTTGGAGCAGTTTTCTTTTCAAGTACTTCTGTGGCCTATATTAGTTAGAGATGCATGGAGGATACTTCTAGTGTGTTTTATTGTACCAGTCAAGGTTTCAGATGCTGCAATTTCAGCTAAAGAATGACCAGGTTAATGTTTTTGGAGCAGGTTAAAGTTTTTGGAGCAGGTCTCATTTCCAAGTAACTATAAGCCCTATATTGACCAAACTTGCATGGATGATACATCTAAGGATGCACACTACTGGACTTGCTTCGGATGCTGGATCTGACCTACATTTTCCGGATGAGTGACTAGGTTAAAGTTTTTGAAGTAGATCTCATTTCCAAGTAACTATAAGCTCTATATTGACCAAACTTACATGGATGATACATCTAAGGATGCACACTACTGGACTTGCCTCGGATGCTGGATCTGACCTATATTTTCCGGATGAGTGACCAGGTTAAGGTTTTTGGAGCAGATGTCATTTCCAAGTAACTATAAGCCCTATATTGACCAAACTTGCATGGATGATACATCTAAGGATGCACACTACTGGACTTGCTTCGGATGTTGAATCTGACCTATATTTTATGGACGAGTGATCACGTTTAATTTTTGGAGCAGATGTCATTTCCAAGTATCTATAAACCCTATATTGATGAAACTTGCATGGATGATACATCTAAGGATGTACACTACTGGACTTGCTTCGGATGCTGGATCTGACCTATATTTTCCGGATGAGTGACCAGGTTAAAGTTTTTTGAGCAGATCTCATTTCCAAGTAACTATAAGCCCTATATTGACTAAACTTGCATGGATGATACATCGAAGGATGCACACTACTGGACTTGCTTCGGATGCTGGATCTGACCTAAATTTTTGGGATGAGTGACCACATTAAAGTTTTTGGAGCAGATGTCATTTCCAAGTAACTATAAGCCCTATATTGACTAAACTTGCATGGATGATACATCTAAGGATTCACACTACTGGACTTGCTTCGGATGCTGGATCTGACCTAAATTTTTGGGATGAGTGACTAGGTTAAAGTTTTTGGAGTTGATGTCATTTCCAAGTAACTATAAGCCCTATATTGACTAAACTTGCATGGATGATACATCTAAGGATGCACACTACTGGACTTGCTTCGGATGGTGGATTTGACAAATTTCCGGATGAGTGACCAGGTTAAAGTTTTTTGAGCAGATGTCATTTCCAAGTAACTATAAACCCTATATTGACCAAACTTGCATGGATGATACATCTAAGGATTCACACTACTGGACTTGCTTCGGATGCTGGATCTGACCTATATTTTGCGGATGAGTAACCAGGTTAAAGTTTTTGGAGCAGATCTCATTTCCAAGTAACTATAAGGCCTATCTGAACCAAACTTGCATGGATGATGCATCAAGGGACGAACAATCTCAAAACTTGCTTCGGATGCTGGTTTTGACTTCCATTTTCTGGATGGGTGACTAGTTTTAAGTTTTCAGATAAGTCTATTCCCAAACCCTATCAGACCAAAATTGCATAAATGTTGCATCTAGGGATGCACACTCCTAGATTATTAGTTAAGTGTGGGACTTTGCCTTACTTAAAGACAACATTCGTTGAGGTGAGCTCTGTAATCTCTGATTACCTATGGGTTTTTTTTTTGGTCTAGAAGAAAAAAGATTTTTGAGTAGAAATGTTTAAAAAGTTTCAAATCTACTATTTGTTCAGAAAATTCATCTTTAATTTTCAACTAAATCTTTATGTTGTGTTATTGAAAAACATGCTTTGTTATTATTTGAGTCAAGATGTTACAAAGTGTTTTGTGTAAGCAAGTCAGGGTTAAACAAATCACTTACCACAGAATATTTTGATGTAGCAATCTTTTGTGATAGGCTATAAACTTAGATATGTTATTATGATGTATTTTTGTAGCAGCAAGCTATTCCACAGCTAGTCAGCAATCTACACCACAGAGTACCCAGAATTCCCAGTACGAGTACAATAATCAAGGCAAGTAGTAAACACGCATGTATAAATACAAAGATTTTGATTTCAGGTTTTTAGGGACATGTGTGGAACACTTTGCCCTGCATTTTTTTTTTTTTTTTGGATAAAGTCACACCAATACAAATTGATGAAAATTTATTTTATCACAACACAGTTTCTAGTCAGCCAGTCTCTAAAATGACCCACTGCGACAAGTATTTGTTTTTAGCTCACCTGAGCTGAAAGCTCAAGTGAGCTTTTCTGATCACCTGTTGTCCGGCGTCCGTCCGTCTGTCTGTCCATCCGTCTGTAAACTTTTCACATTTTCAACTTCTTCTCAAGAACCACTAAGCCAATTTTAACCAAAGTTGGTACAGAGCATCCTTGGGTGAAGGGGAGTTTAAATTGTTAAAATGAAGGGTCAACCCTCCTTTCAAGAGGAGATAATCAAGAAAAGACAAAAATAGGGTGGGGTCATTAAAAAATCTTCTTCTCAAGAACCACAGGGCCAGAAAAGCTGAAACTTATATGGAAGCATCCTGGGGTAGTGTAGATTCTAAATTGTTCAAATCATGGCCCCTGGGGGTAGGGCGGGGCCACAATAGAGAATCCAAGTTTTACATTGAAATTTAAAGACAAAATGTTTGAAAATCTTCTTCTCAAGAACCACTGGGCCACAAATGCTGAAACTTATGTGGAAGCATCCTTGGGTAGTGTAGATTCTAAATTGTTCAAATCATGGACCCCGGGGGTAGGGCAGGGCCATAATAGGGAATCCAAGTTTTACATTGAAATTTAAAGACAAAATGTTTAAAAATTCTACTTCTCAAGAACCACTGGGCCACAAAAGCTGAAACTTATGTGGAAGCGTCCTTGGGTAGTGTAGATTCTAAATTGTTCAAATCATGGCCCCTGGGGGTAGGGCAGGGCCACAATAGGGAATCCAAGTTTTACATTGAAATGTATAGGCAAAATCTTTGAAAATCTTCTTCTGAAGAACCACTGGACCACAAAAGCTGAAACTTATATGGAAGCATCCTTAGGTAGTGTAGATTCTAAATTGTTCAAATCATGGCCCCCGGGGGTAGGGCAGGGCCACAATAGGGAATCCAAGTTTTACATTGAAATATATAGGCAAAATCTTTGAAAATCTGAAGATGAAGAGCCACTGGACCACAAAAGCTGATTCTTATGTGGAAGCATCCTTGGGTAGTGTAGATTCTAAATTGTTCAAAACATGGCGCCCCCCCCCCCCCCCCCCCCCCCCCCCCCCCGGGGTTAGGGCGTGGCCACAATAGGGAATCCAAGTTTTACATTGAAATTTAAGGGCAAAATCTTTGAAATTCGATGATGAAGAACCACTGGGCCACAAAAGCTGAATCTTATGTGGAAGCATCCTTGGGTAGTGTAGATTCTAAATTGTTCAAATCATGGCCCACCGGGTAGGGCGGGGCCACAATAGGGAATCCAAGTTTTACATTGAAATATAAAGGCAAAATCTTTGAAAATCTTCCTCTGAAAAACCACTAGACCAGAAAAGCTGAAATTTATGTGGAAACATCTTGGGGTAGTGTAGATTCTAAATTGTTCAAATAATGGCCCAGGGGGGTAGGACAGGGCCATTTAGGGAATTAAAGTTTTACATTGAAATATATAGGCAAAATCTTTAAAAATCTTCATCTCAAGAACCACTAAGCCAGAAAAGCTGAAACTTATGTGGAAGCATCCTTGGGTAGTGTAGATTTTAAATTGTTCAAATCATGACCCCCGGAGGTAGGGCAGGGCCACAATAGGGAATCCAAGTCTTACATTGAAATATATAGGCAAAATCTTCAAAAATCTTCTTCTCAAGAACCACTAGGCCAGAAAAGCTGAAACTTATGTGGAAGCATCCTTAGGTAGTGTAGATTCTAAATTGTTCAAATTATGGCCCTGGGGGTAGGGCGGGGCAGCAATGAGTATTACAAGGGAGGGGGTCTGGTGAAGAACAGCAGGGTCAAAGTAACTCAGGTGAGCGTTGTGGCCCATGGGCCTCTTGTTCTGTTTTATATACGAGATCATTGTTAGGACCTAATATCCATTGCATCAAGGTCCAGTAAAAGAACCCTTTTCCCCACAAAACTTAGGTAAAAATTCCCAAATGACAAGCAGATTGATTTTTCTAGTGCTTTTTATGTATTAAAAAAAAAGAATTTTCAGATTATAGTGATTTATAAAGATGTAAGTAGGGAATAAGCCTACAATCTAACTCTTTGATCTACAGTTAAACATAATAAAGGTCATCAGTTTGCCAAATTTAGGCACTTTTTCAATTTAAAATTCCCAATTGAAAGGGTACAGAACCCTATACCAAAAAGGGTCAGTTAAGCCCTGATTGTACTTTACTTGAGTGGTATTTACTGGATTAGAAGTTCCCAGACTGCACTTTGACAATATTAATAACAATACATGTACCATATATTCCAATGAGTATTTCAATTCCATGCCCCTATATACTTCTCCAACTGTGATTTCCAATCTGAAAATGACAAGTACCCCTCCAAATACACACCACCGGTCAGTGACTTTTCAAACTGCATAATTTGTTTTTAGCTCACCTGAACCATTGCTTGCATATCTATTCATAGGTAAAAACTAATTGTCACACTTCAGTTGCACTTTTATTCAACTTACCAACTTGTTTTTGCTAATTATCTTCAATGAATCATTTATTCTCTATTTAGACATAACTTAACAAATCTTAAGCTGCCATTTGTTGAATATGTCAACTAACCATTGCTTGCATATCTATTCATAGGTAAAAACTAATTGTCACACTTCAGTTGCCCTTTTATTCAACTTAGCAACTTATAAGAGAATATGTTTTAAAAGGTCTCCCCTCTTAGGTTACATTCATTTGTAAGTTATAAATGGCAGATCTTATAACTACCCATATTCTGAATTTTTCAATCACCATGGGTGCTTATCAGGGCAAATACAGTATATGAATTTTGTTGATTTCTAGGATATTATGATGGTCAGAATTCTTCTCAAGGACAACAAGCCAGTTACAACACATCTTCAAACACCACACAGAGTTATTCACAGTACCAAGATACATCAGGCTACTACAGTTCTAATCAGAACTATGACTATTCTGGTTACCAGTCAGGAAACCAGTATCAGTCAGGGAACCAATACCAGCAAGGGAACCAGTACCAGTCAGGGAACCAGCCAAATTATGACTCCTACAGCACTGCTAACTACAACTATAGTGATTATTATGGCAATGGGTATGATGGTTATGGGAATTACTATGGGTACGGAGATAGCTCCCAGGATCAGAATGGATCATATGGGAATAACACTTATGGTCAGAATTATACAGGTCAACAGGATGGGAAGACGTGGACTAGCAGTAGTGGAAGTCAAAGTAATAGTGGACAGCAAAAACTTGCTCCTCAAAGGGATCCTCGACTGGAAAGGAGGGGAGGAGGGGGACAGACGCAGGGAGCTGGGAGAGGGAGAGACAATCACCAGCAACCAAGCAGTGAGAAACAGCCAGAAACAACAGGTGAAGGAAGAGGAAGAGGGACCAATGCAACTAGACCTGACAGGGGTGGGAGAGGGGGACATGTACCTAATAGAGGAGCTTATCATGGAAGTTACAGAGGAGATAATTTTGATCCAGGGAGACAATATGAGGATAAAGATTACAGAAAAAGACCCCCTCAAATGCCTCCAATTCATGATAATCATGATAGTTCCCAGGACAGGAGGAGGTATAATGATAACAGAGGAAGTGGATACAATCAGATGTATTCAAATGAGGAAGAACATTACAAACCTTACCAACATCCAGATAAAGGGTGGAATAGGGAAGAGAACTGGGGCAGAGGATGGCAAGAGGGCTATAGAGATCCCAGAGGAGGGGATCGTGGGAGGGAAAGAGGTGGGGGCCGAGGCAGAGGAGATAGAGGTCCTAGGAGGGGTGGTTATGATAGGGGTGGTATTCCAGGTAGAGGTAGAAATAGGGATGATGGTGCAAGCTTCAGGAACCAGCCACCATCTCCAATTCATAGTGGGCCAAGTCAGAGAGGGAGAGGAAGAGGAGGACAAAGTCTCCTACAAAGCAACAACAGATTTGAGAAAAATCAGAAACCAATGCCATTTAAAGACCAGAGTGTAAGGGAGAACAAAGAGAGTGTTCATGGTGATAATAAATCGACTCCTAACAACAGAAATATCAGTAAAGACATTAAACAAACAGAAAAGCACAAAATTGATATGAAATCAGAGAAAGCTGAGGAGCAGCCTCCAGTGAAAAAGCCATGTAAAATTGAACATAAGGTAGGAGTCAAGGCATCAGCTTCAAAACCAGCAGTGGCAATGGAAGTCAAAATAGAACCTGTTGTGGAAAATCAACAGAGTACTGTTATTGAATCACAGACCCCAAAACAGAGTGTAGTGAAGTCAGAAGTTACTGCTCCAGATGACACAGCACCAACTCTACCAGACAGTACTTCCAAAGATAGCATAACAGGTCCCTCTCCTCCAAAGAAAAAGAAGCCAGCTGATGATCTGATAGAAGATCCAGAGGTACAGAAAGCATTGGAGGAAATGATGACTCCCTTGTTTTGTAAGCTGTGCAATTTAACTATCAATCACCCCTCACAAGCCCAGTCCCACTACAATGGTAAACACCATGCCAAAAAAGTAAGGCTGTATAAGCAATCGGCAGCACTTGAGGCCACTCTTGCTAGGAAAGCAGCACAGGGAGATATTGTGACCACGTTGAATCTGGTTACTGAAGTTACCCCAGCATCAGAATCTGATGATGCTCCTAAGGAAGAAAACAACCAGACTCTCAGTGAGGTAAATTATCAAAAAATTATTGAAATTTTTACATCAGCTGATAAAAAGTGGTTAAGTTCAGTCTGAATTTATTAAGTGATACTTAAGTAGTACAAGAATATTTTTGATGGATATTTTAGAGTGTAATTGAGAAGATGAAAGATGAAAATGACCGTGTGTACTGCAAGTTGTGTCAAGTTGCATTCAACTCACCAAAGCAGGCCATCCAACATTATGAGGGGAAGAATCATGCTAAGAAAATGAAAGCTGCTGGCATAGTTCACATATCAGAGACAGATAAACAGCATGTCAAAATGTAAGTATTTGGAATATTTATCATATACAACACATTTAGGACTTGGGTTCATTTTAATGACAAAATGCTTCTTTGTTTTTTATACTGAAGATAATGGTCGCAACATCGCAGTAAATTGCATAAACTGCATAAGTGGGTCGATATATAAATTTTGCAATGATTCCAACAATTAAACCTTGTATAATAAAACAGTAAAGACATTTTATAGTGTATATGTACATCTAGATCTGTCTTATTCATATAAAATGGTTTGAAGTACATAAAATATTGTGTAATTAATCTGATTGTTGGAGGAGCCAAGAAACAGTGGACTTTAAACACTTCATTCATACTTGGATGGAGTTACATATGGCCAAAAAATGGATCTAATTAGTGTAGAAGTCAAATATAGTTATACTGCCTCTAATTAACAGCTTTTCATAAGAACTAAAGGAGAAAGTTGTTAGTGGATATAAATGTAAACATTAGATTTTCATCTCAGATTAGACAAAGAGAATTACATTGTCTCTGCTAAAAAAAACAGTACATTTTGATGATTTCAACACTGTATTGATTCAACATCACATCCTGCAAGTTTTGCTATATATTTATTCTCAAAATGCCTGCCATGGTCACTGGGTGACTGTGTAATTAAAATCATTGAAATTTTAAAATTCATGCATATTTCAGAGATGGTGCTGTGTTTGAGTGCAAGATGTGCTGTGTTCAGGTGACCTGCAATGAACAGTTACAGTCCCATTTGAATGGAGCCAAACACAAAGGCAAACTGAGATCCCTAGAGAGAGCGTCAGACTCGAATCGAGGTCGATGGGGAGGGAGAGGGAGGGGGAGAGGAAGGGGAAGAGGAGGTAGATATTGAATTAAAAACCATAGAACCTGTATTAAAAAGATGCTGGAATGACATATATTTTTAAAACAGTTGTTGTCCATTCTGAAATAAAACATTCAAATTTTTTTATTATTAGATTTTGATATGAAGACTTTAAGCATTGTAATTTCTCTGGTTTTAGGTTTAATATGGAAATTGCAAAACTTTAATAGTAGAATGTTTTATTTATTCAAACTGTTCATTGTGAAAAGTTGTTGATAACAAAAATTCTTCAGTGCTTGCTGGATTGGCCAGTGAAGAACACAATGTTGTGACCATCCAGACCCAGCAGTCACGGAAGAGAGGGCGAGATTATTCCAACTTCCGAACACCAAGTGGAGGGTATTACTGTAGTATCTGTAATGTGACAGTTAATGGTGAAAATCAGTTTGCACAACACATGGACAGTCGCAAACACAAGAGTAAATATGCTAATCACAAGATCACTGAAGAGGAGCAGCAGCAACAGGATTTGACCAGTTAGAATCAGAGTAAACTGGAGTAAACAAGTTTTTCAAATGGAAACCTTTTATCATAAGGGCATATTATGTCAGATATGTTTCTTTTTTTCTCTCTCTCTATCCATCTTTCTCTCTCTCAAAAACCAGCAGTTAATTCATGATTGTACATGTATAAAATTTGTTGGCTATATTAAGTTTGAACAACTTCAATTTATAAGGAATGTGTATTTTTTGTGATAGACAAAATTTAATTTATTGAAAAAAAAACATCATTCAATTTTGAATATTAGTGTCACATGTAACTGTTTTCTTATCCAGTTTAAAGTTTATGTATATATATGCATACTGCTGTATTGAAGTTGTTTTCATTCATAAATATTTTTAAAAGGCAGTTTGGATAGGAGTGTGCTTATAAAAATAACTTGAAATGTAACAGTATTAATTGTGTTTTTATAACATTAAATAAAATCTTATCAAAATTAAATTCCAACATATGATCATGATTTTTCCCTTTATATTAACATAAAACTCAATTCTTATTTTATAGCAACAAATGAAAAGCATTGAGTGGTTTCTATGAATAAGTTTAGTTACTGTAAACATCCATAGTGGATATAAACAAAAAAAAATGGTTGAAAGGTAAAATGTTTGTCAAAACAATTGTTTGAAGCATATTATCATTGACCCAGCTGGAATTTATAAGAGGCACATTGCAAACTGAAGTGTTTTATGGAAGGATATTAATGTCGAATAGTACTGTATATTGGTATTTTGTTAAAAAAATTTGATCATAATTTGTACACTTAATGGCAATAAATAATTATTTACTAGGCAAACAAAATATGATGATATAATGGAATCATTGTCTCTGTCTGTCTGTCTGTCTGTGTTTATAGACTTTTGGTCCCTTGATTATCTCTTACATATTTCAATATTTCTAGAAAATATTTATTGGTATGCCTTATCTATTTAAACCTGGAATTTTTAGATAGATTTAAAAAAAAAACTGTGGATTTTTAAAAAGTTTTCATGGTGTTTTAATTCTGTAACAGGTATAGAAAGTTGGTACAAAGGTTGATAGTGAAGAGAAGTGGATGTTAATTTTTAGCACAAAGATAGCTTAAGATTGCCTAAGACCAATGGGTATGTGATAACAGACTAATTTCAAGGTCACAGATTTCACAGGTTTAAAATTTGTGCTTTGGCCATAACTTTGAAGCAGAGCATTAGGAGATTATTTTCAGAACAACAAAAAAACTGATTGGGACCAGTAGATGTGTAATAACCTTATAGCATAGTCATTTTGACAAGTCAAGATCACAGAGCTGGAAGCATAAAATTCCTGCCAATACTTTGACTTTATTATATAATAACATCAGAAGATCATACTTTACCTAATGGATGAACATAATATGACTTGACCCTGACCAAGGACATATAAGCAAGTCGATGACGGATGACCCAGAAGCCTAAAATTCTGAAGGACTCTTAAAAAATAAGACTCTTACTTAGAATAGCTTCAGAAGTCATTCTTGGTATTTTGTTAAAAAAATTTGATCATAATTTGTACACTTAATGGCAATAAATAATTATTTACTAGGCAAACAAAATATGATGATATAATGGAATCATTGTCTCTGTCTGTCTGTCTGTCTGTGTTTATAGACTTTTGGTCCCTTGATTATCTCTTACATATTTCAATATTTCTAGAAAATATTTATTGGTATGCCTTATCTATTTAAACCTGGAATTTTTAGATAGATTTAAAAAAAAAAACTGTGGATTTTTAAAAAGTTTTCATGGTGTTTTAATTCTGTAACAGGTATAGAAAGTTGGTACAAAGGTTGATAGTGAAGAGAAGTGGATGTTAATTTTTAGCACAAAGATAGCTTAAGATTGCCTAAGACCAATGGGTATGTGATAACAGACTAATTTCAAGGTCACAGATTTCACAGGTTTAAAATTTGTGCTTTGGCCATAACTTTGAAGCAGAGTATTAGGAGATTATTTTCAGAACAACAAAAAAACTGATTGGGACCAGTAGATGTGTAATAACCTTATAGCATAGTCATTTTGACAAGTCAAGATCACAGAGCTGGAAGCATAAAATTCCTGCCAATACTTTGACTTTATTATATAATAACATCAGAAGATCATACTTTACCTAATGGATGAACATAATATGACTTGACCCTGACCAAGGACATATAAGCAAGTCGATGACGGATGACCCAGAAGCCTAAAATTCTGAAGGACTCTTAAAAAATAAGACTCTTACTTAGAATAGCTTCAGAAGTCATTCTTGGCTCAAAGGTTGTTTGTAATCAAGAGGTTTGTCATGTTTCTATGTCATGGTCATGTTAATAAGGTCTTTGGCTCAAATTTTATTTAAATGTTTGGATGATGGACTGTCATACTTTGGTTCATACTCCACACAAAGGTTCCTTATAACTAGAGGAGTTAACAACTGTTAACCAATTACAGTACATCTCAACAAGATTAACAACATGGGTATTTGCTGTGTATGCTTTGTAAGATAGAGCAGTTCTTTGCTATTTCCAAGAATGCCCTAGTTTGCCTAGTTGCTCCATTAGCAGCCAATTAGGACATTTCTTGATTCAGTTTGTATTGAGGTTTGTTTGAAAACACTTGCATAAATGGGTTACATGCACTTTGTCTCTTAGAGATTTTTTACTTGTATCAATGAAGGTTTTGTTTATAGTGTTGACCAAAGCAACATTCGTACTGTGCTGTGAACTTTATAGTTGTTTATCCACTGTGGGTATATGTACATGCTTGTGTTGTTTTCTATGAGATTTATAGACACAGATACCTTATTTGTTTGTAGCAATTCATTTTAAGATAATGTGTTGATCTGTTTTTTCCCCTTTTTTTGTCAAATATTTTGTCCAAATAGTCATATCATTGATGCAGAAAAGTAAATCCATGTCATCTAATGTTAAACATATTGAATGAAAAGTTATGTTTCTTGTTTCTCATAAAGGCAATACTGAAAATCATTGAGTTTTCCATTCATATAATGTTAACATTTTGATATTCTGATTTAGAGACATTTGTTTCCATTTCCTTGTCCTCAAGTTGTAATCCATGATCTCTCTCTCTCTGTGGAGAGAAGGTTGATTTAAGTCTCTCCACTGTGAGACACTGAGATGGAACCCGCGTTGGTGTGATTTCCACTGCAACTTTCAAAAATGCAACAAACAGAATTTAATGCACAGAAGATAAGTACTTACGGAGTTCTAAACGTAATGGAAGAAAAGAAAGTTGAAGCATGCTTGATTTATAATTTACTTGAGAGTTAAGTGTCATAAACGTGTACTGAGAACCAATTATTATTATTCGCGTGCAAGAAATATCCGCAAGTTATGTGATGTTCTTTTACTCAATAATAATTCCGCAGCGAACCTTTTTTTTTTTTTCAAATTGACAGATCACAAATAAAAGATGTTGCAAATAATAATTGGTTTACAGTATTTAAATTGATGGGCATTAAATACTTATAATCTGTATAAGTAATGTTTGCTAGATTTACATGTAAATGTTATGCTTATTATTAACTTTATTTCATTACATTATTAGATGATAACTTTAAAAGTTTGGATGTTACCACAGACATGGATTTTACGAAGTAAATCTTGAGTTGACATTGTGTCTTTTCTTCTTTTATGGGGTTCACAGTTTTGATGATATACATGTATAGCATGATATGTTTAGATGTCTGGTTCAAATCTTGATCAGAATAATTTTTTTTGCCATATTCTCACTTTTTAAAGCAATGTTTTATTTTCAGTTTGCAAGAGGATTTAATTAATTTACTTCATGTGCTCCTGCATTCAGTCTTCTTCTCAGGTTGACTCATCTAGTAAAAATCCCCACTGACCTTGTTAGGTCACGTGGGTCACTCAGGTGACATATTGCTATCTGTTTTTGTTTTTTGTCATCCGTAGCAAACTTCTGAACATTTTCAGCTTTTCTCATAAACTGTTTAACCAATTTCAACCAATTTTGGTATATAGCATCTATGGGTGAAGGGGAACAAAAATTTGTGAATTTCATGATCCCTGCCTCCCTGCGGCCTGAGGGGATGGGTAAAATCAATCAAAATCAATGTTATTTCAAATTTTTTTTCTTCACTCCTGGACACTAAGGAGTCAAATTGTTGACATGACTATAAAAAGCAGTGGCTCTTTTACCAAAATTGTGAAATTCATGGCCCCAGCTCCAGAGGTTCTAGAGTAAGCTTGGACTCTTTTGATCATATAGTGAAAATGCATTAATTCTTTGAAAGGCTTCTTTGCTCACCCTGTATATATATAGCAGACAAATTAATTGCATGGTTATGATGAACAAGGATGCCTCTTCCAAACCTGTGAAATTCATGGCCCCTGGGTCAAGATTCTGTGTTAGGTCAGGGCTCCATTGATTATATAGTGAAAATGCCTCTTCAAAATTTGTGAATTTCTTGGCCCTTGGGTCAGGGGTTAAGGTATTAGAGTGTGGATCTCTTGATCAAATACTGAAAATGAAAAATAAACATTCTTCGAAAGTCTCATTCTCTGCCCCTAGGTAATTAGTGTGAACATACTAAGTGCATTGTTATGGTGAGCATGAGTGTCCCTTTTAAAGTTGTAAATTACATGGCCTATGAGTCAGGGGCTGTTGTGTTAGGATGGGGCTCCATTGATTATATTAGTATTGCAAAAATGCATAATAATTTTTTTAAAATTTCCTTCTCTGCCCCTGGGTATTTAGTGAACATACTAAGTGCATTATTATGATGAGCATTTAGTGAAAGTGCATATTTCTTTGAAAATTTTCTTCTCTGCTCCTGGGTATAAGTAAACAAACTAAGTGTAAGGTTATGATGCACAAGGATGCCTCTTTAAATATTGTAAATTTCATGGCCCTCGGGTTAGGGGTTCAGGTGTTAAGTTGGATCTCTATTGAATTATTTAGTGAAAATGCATTTTTTCTTTGAAAATCTCCTCTACCCCTGGTTATTTAGCTTACATACTAAATGCGTAGTTATGATGAGCAAGGGTGCCTCTTCCAAGATTGTAAATTACATGTCTCCTGATTCAGGAGTTCTGGTGTTAGGGTGGGGTTCTATTGACTCATGTAGTGAAAGTGTGTTAATTATTTGGAATCCTCTTCTCTGCCCTTGGGTACTAAGGAGACATACAGGTACTAAGTGCATTGTTGTGATGAGTAGGGGTGCATACTCCAAAATTGCGAATTACATGGCTCATGAGTCAGAGATTCAGGTATTAGGCTGGGACTAGGCAC